TCAAACTTCACATCTTTCAAGCCCACAACTAGATCACGTTTTGAAAGTTTGCTCAATTGATTCATGCCAACATGGGCTAGCCTCCTATGTCAAAGCCAACCCAATGAAGTTTTTGCAACTAAACAAGTTTTCAAATTTGCTTCACTAGAATTGAAATCAACCAAATAAAGATTTCCATATCAAAAACCTTTGAACACACAAGACTTGTCAAGAAGGCTAGAAACAATAACTTCTTGCGGGAAGAAAGCACATGACAAGCCAAGATCACAAATTTGAGCAACTGAAAGCAAATTGAAATTTAGAGATTTAACAAGAGAGACATTATCAATTGACAAATCATTGGAGATAGCAATTTTAACTAACCCAATTACCTTTCCTTTGCTATTGTCTCCAAATGTCACTTTCTCTTATTCTTTCTCTCCTACTTCAAATGTGGTGAACATAGCTCTATCACCGGTCATGTGTTGAGTGCATCCACTATCAAGCACCCAATGGCTCCCACCGGTGCGGTAGTTCACCTACAAAAGAAGATCAAGCTCTTTTAGGTACCCAAACTTGTTTGGGTCCTTGGAGGTTAGAGACCAAAGCTTTGGGCACCCAAATGGCATTCTTTTAACCACCGAGTATAGAGGAACCCACATATCTAGCAACAATGCTACCATCATGAGCCTTCCTAAGCATATAATGAGAATCAAACATGCATGTCTTAGGAGGCTTACCACCAGGGCAATCATTCACCAAATGCCCAACCTCACGGCACTTGGAGCAATACTTACCATTGCTCTTGACAAAACGAGTGGCACGGTGAGAAGGTTTCTTACCCTTCTTTGGAATGAATCCAAGTCCCTCCTTGTTAAGGATGCATCGTTGCTCACTTAAAATCTTGTCAAGAGTGTTCTTACCCTTGAAGCACCTCTCCAAACTCTTGTTGAGCTTGGCCACTTGCTCCTTAAGCTCATTGTTCTCAACAACAAGTGAGGCATCACAAATGGAAATACAAGAGCTAGAGCTAGACATATCCACAAGATCATCACAAGAGGTAGAAATGCTAGATGATGCAACATGAGCAATATGGCAAGTAGCACTATCATCAAGCAAATCACAAGATATGCCAACATCAATAAGAGCTCCATGTTGAGTAGTGGAAAGGAGGTTGTCATGAGCTTCCTTAAGCTTCTCATGAGAAATGGTGAGTCTCTCATAAGAGGTCTTTAGCTCCTCATACAAGACCTCCAAAGAAGCATGATCCTTCTTTAGAGCCTTGAACTTGACAATCTCCTTCTCACTATAAGCATGGAGCTCCTCAAACATACTCACAAGCTCATCATAGGAAACATCATCACAATCATCATCACTCTCACTATCACTAAGAGATGTTACCTTAGAGGAACCCTTTGCCATGAGACAAAGTGGAGCGAAGAGTGATGGAGCCTCCTTGATGGCAACAACGGTCATCTTCTTCTTCTTGGAGCTTGCATCATCACCACCTTCTTCCTCGGACCCGGATGAGGCGGAGCTCTCCTCATTTGAGTCCCATTCCCCGATGAATGCCTCAATCTTCTTGCATTCCTTCTTGAGCTTCTTCATGAGCTTGTAGCCTCCACTCTTCTTCTTGGATGACTTGTCTCCATCATCATCCTTGAAAGGGCACTTGGAAACAAAGTGTCCCTTCTCACCACACTCAAAACACCTCAAGTTGGAGAGAGTCTTGTTGGGTCTTCTATTTCTACTCCTATTTGAGTTGGAGCCCCTTCCTCTCTCCTTTCTCCTTCCCAAGAGATCATTGAACCTTCTAGCAAGAAGGGCAATCTCTTCCTCCAAGTCCTCATTGACTTCATTCACCTTGCCCTTGCTCTTATCTTCAACTTCGGCTTGGAGAGCAATGCACTTCTTGAAAGGTGATCAATCAAGTGCCACACTAGCTCTACAAATGGAAGCAATGCACTTGACTCTTGGCTAATTAACCCTCTAACACACTAGATGGATGAACACAAAGCTCAAGTGGGTGTGAGAGAGGTGCAAGGGGTGTATGCAATTGAATTGGGTGTCAAGAGAGACCCCTTGCTGCTGGAGGGAGAGTATTTATACTCCCACCAACCAAAACTAGCCGTTGGGGGCGAAATCCCCTAACTTTGTGCTCTGCCGGTCTAACCGAAGGTATGCGGTCGGTCAGACCGTGCTACTCTGCAACGGCTAGAAAACTAGCCGTTGTAGTGCTGTCAGAGGGCCCCATCGGCCTGGCCGGTTAGACCGGCGTTGAGTGGGCGGTCAGACCGACCTTGGCTCGGTCAGACCGCCATCGCCTCGGTCTGACCGAATACGGCTCCGTCGGCTCTGTATCGGCCACCCCGAGTAGCACCATCCCGGCCTCCAGGGGGACGGTCTGACCACGCATGTGCCGCCAGTCAGACCGGCCTTATTCGCCGGTCAGACCGCCGTCTTGCGGCCGGTCAGACCGGCCAGGGCACGCCGGTCAAACCGCCACTATGTGGCCGGTCTGACCGCCCCTGATCAGGCCGAAACCAGTGAAATCCCAAGTGATTGTGTGTGTGATGAAAAGCGAGCACAAGTCTAAATGCATAATGACCTAATGTGGCAATTAAAATCATCTCTTTGCTAGGTCATTACCCCTCTTAATAGTACGGCAAAACTAAAAAATAAACTAGCAAATTTGATCGCCCTATACCTCGATCAATTAAATTAAAGCACTACTTTTACCGTCTTCTTTCTCTTTGCTTTGCGCCGTCAATTTTAATCCATCGATAGTCATCCATGCGCACACATGACGTGGACCTAACTTAAAATATTATCTCAATAGCAACGGTTAGTCCACAATTAGCGTTTGTCATTAATTACCAAAATTAACAACGGGGGCCTAGATGCTTCACCGGTTAGTAATACTAATCGGGACTAAAGATCTAGATGATCTTTCGTCCCGGTTGGTATTACCAACCGGGACTAAAATTCAACGCGTAGTATATAATCCCTATCACTTATCCTCTCCTCCACGATCGCAACCACTCACACAGATCGATCGATCCTCCCCTCTCACAGATCTCCTCCCTCTCCTCCCCTTCCTCCTCCCCTCCCCTCTCCTCCCCCCTCCTCCAGGCATGTGGCGGCGGGCAGGCGGCCGGCGGCCGGTGGGGCCGCATGTGGCGGCGGGCAGGCGGCGGGCGGCCGGTGGGGCCGCAGGCGGCGGCGGCAGGCGTCAGGCAGGCGTTGTTTTCTTTTCTTTTCTTTTTTTGATAATTTGTGGTTGACTGAGATGTATAATTTTGTGATTCATTGTACGGATCTAAGATGTATAATCTGTGATGTATTTGATTTGTGTGTAATTTTTTTAGGATTTGTGATGTATTTGATTTGTATGTATAAGTAACTTTAAGATTTGTGATGTGGATTTGGGATGTTACTTTGATTTTGTGATGTGGATTTGGGATGCTATTTTGATTTGGTGATTTGGGGTTTGATTTAGGGATATGCATGCCACTCGATACGAGAGAAAATAAGAAAGAGAAAAAAAGAAAAGGGGACCATTTGGACTGCCGCTACCCTCTCTGTAGTTCCGGTTTTTATTACCAACCGGGACTAAAGATTTAGTCCCAGATTTCTACTCCCGGTTAGAAACTCGGAACTAAAGGGGTTACCAACCGGAGTAAAAAAAGGTTTCTCCACCGGTGCTGGTACGAGTAAAATGTGATTTTTATCACTAAAATACCTATATTACCTTTACTACCTCTTGGTTTTATTATAACCATAAATAATCCTAGCCTATATATACTTTACTCATCCCGAGAAAACGATCAATCTTTTTATCTCTCCTTGATAGTTGATACCCACACCAAACACTAAAACTTGCTATATTCGGGGATGAAGGGTGCAATAAATTTCTTTTTTGTGTTTTTGATTGTCACATAGTTTGCAAAAGGCATTTCATGTTAGTAGGGGTGGATTTGCTGCCAGCGATCCCTAGTGACCGCCCGAGCTCGGCGACAGACGCACAATGGGATTTGTTTTTTTAATGAATTGAAAAATATTTTCACACCAAATGTTTGATATACTAATATTTTACTAGGCTTCTTTTATTTTTCATGAGATGGTACACATTTTTTACTAGACTTCTTGTCAAGCTGTTAATAGTCAAATCGGCAGCGACGGCTTTTGTATTTAGGTTTTCGATTTGCCTGATGACATCGGTTTGCTATTATGTTGAATGAAGATGATGGTTGATATTTGTTCATTTGTTCTGCATATGCTGGAGTTGGTCAGCGTCGTGGATACGTTCGTCGCTCGCATATATTGTAACATTTTAAGATGTGGAGGCTCTTTATTCTATTTTTTATAACCCTTTTATATCATACCTCGCTTAGTATTAGGCTCGTTCCAATTGCAGCTGCAAATCAACAGCCGAACATGCCCATTTAATATAATCTACCTTGTTCAAGGAAAAAAAATCCCTACAACTACGATAAAAAATCAAACATCATAACTCAATATCTTATAATCTAAAGCTGACCAGCGAGGACAGGTAATGGACGGTAGATATTCCGACTTCACAACAATTATTTAATATCGCAAACAAATAAACTAAATATAAATATAAAAGTTGGAAATGAATTAAAAGAAATATGGATGAAGAAAGTGTTTTTTTTAAACAAAACACGTTGTTTAGCACCTTGATAAGCACATCCACGATGATCTAACTTTAGAACAAAACGTCCCACTCAAAAATTTCAGGCCAATTTTGATGTACCAGTAGGAAGACTGTAGTAGGATAGATACGAAACTGTAGGATATTCACGGACTCACCGATAAACAGGACGACGCAAACGCCTTAGAAAATTTTCGCCCCAAATTTTTGTTTACCCGGTCGTGTCTCACGAACAGCCGCGAGCGCGCGGGGAGCCACATATTGAGAAATGAGTAACCAAAAAAAAAGCTAGCGAGCGAGCAAGCGAAGGAGCGGGCCGAGATCGCGAGCGCGACGCGCGTGAGAGGGACGGGACGGGAGGCAAGTGGGCGGGGGCACAGCACAGCGGTGGTCAGTGGTAAGTGGTGGTCTAGTCTAGTGGCTGGCTGGCGCTCTGCCGCCCGCGCAGCCACAAGCCCCCCCAGCGCACGCCGTCCCCTTCCCCGTTCCCAATCTCTCCGCCTCCCCTCCCCAACCAAACCAAACGCACGGCCACACCGCCGCTGCGCCACCACCCACACACTCCCACCCACCATCACGCCACGCCTGCAGAGCCAGAGACTCTGAGCCGCCGTGCCGACGCCGACGCCTACGCCGAGCGCCCGCACGCTCCGCTCCCATGGTCTCCGCCAACCAGCCGCCGCCCGACGCGGCCGCGGCAGCGGCGGGCTCGGCTGGGGAGGACGCCAGCAAGAAGGTGCGGAAGCCGTACACCATCACCAAGTCGCGCGAGAGCTGGACGGAGCAGGAGCACGACAAGTTCCTTGAGGCCCTCCAGCTGTAAGCAAAATCGCGGAATTGCCGTGCCTTTTTCCTTAATTTCACCCCGTCTTTTGCCACCCAACTCGATGCGTGGTTTTGCTCGGAATTTTGCAATCGTGCGGTCTTTGAGGTGAAGATTGAATGTTTTTCTAGCTCTTGTGATGCGTTAGTTAGGTTCCGATGTTTTTTTGCTGTCTTGTGTATTATTGATATAAAACAGTAGCAAAATAGCTTACTTAACTTGTTTTACGTAAAAAAAACAAAACTTGTTTGTTTGTTCATTTGTTTTTAAATTTGGTCTTGGAGTAGCATATGGAGAGTTTTTTAGTCAGGGGATCTTTTAAAGATTTCTTGTCTGTACTGAGATGAAGCCGTGTTTCAGAATTTCATAAGCTGCTGTTGTGCACAAGGACAATAATCAGTAGTACTGGTACAACCTTTGGGCAAAGAGGAAATCTAAGGATCCAATTTGCAGATTATATTTTTTTGACTAAAATTTGCAGATTATATGAATTGAAATAATAGCACAAATTTACAAACTGAGGTGCTTTGTGTTCATCTAGTGATGCCATTTGTCCGGGTATAGCACCCCCACTGGATATTTTAAGGCCTCAAAGCATTTGCTCTCGTAATTAGCCAAAAGTCACAAATTCACAACTCACAAATTAGTACAGCAGTATCCTGCAGTTCTCTGCTTCGTAGTTTTGGACTTTTGGTGCTATAATACTTGATATTTCTTTGACCTGGTTGAGCACACCTGAATTATTGGACATTTTAGTAATCATAATTACTATGAAATGCTTCCAACGTATTGGTCCCCCTATTTGCATATGATTGCCAATAATGTGTTTTGGCGCACCAAAAACACTGCATTTGTTGCTGTTGAATTCAAGTATCTGTACAAAAGGTTTGATATTCAATTGTAGGACTGTCCTTTTACATCTGATATTCATGTGTAATACCTTGCTTCTTTTCAGCTTTGATCGTGATTGGAAAAAGATAGAAGCTTTTGTTGGATCGAAGACTGTTATTCAGGTGGGCAAATTATAAATGGAAAAGGGGATATCCTCTGGCAAATGAATAAAGGGAATTGTGGCATCAAATTTCGTCACAAACCTAGCAGAACTGAATCCCTGATTTGTTGATATATGTCATATATGTTGACCTATAATAAACAACTAATACACAATGCCTTTTTTTGTGGTGTAATACACAGTGCGTTGGTGCTTGTGTCCATGGGTTCAAATCCCTTTTCTCCACTTCTCACAATAAAATATTTGCAGACATTGCACACGATCAACTCTCCAGTGAAATAATTTTTGTTTACCATCTCAACTTGATTTTGCAGATTAGGAGCCATGCACAGAAGTATTTTTTGAAGGTTCAAAAGAATGGAACAAGTGAGCATGTCCCACCTCCACGACCAAAGCGTAAAGCTGCTCATCCATACCCTCAAAAGGCCTCCAAAAATGGTAGATCCTCATATGCTCATAAGTTCAGCACGCACCCAACACATATATCTTTGATACTAACAGTACCCCCCTCTGCACAAAACATTTACTTCAATATATATTCTCATCTTGCAGAGCCAGGATATACCATAAAGGCAGATTCATCTTCCATGCTTAGGAACTCAGGCATGAATGCCACTGTTTCGTCATGGACACACAATTCTATCCCACCAATTGTAGCCTCATCCATGGTGAAAGGTTTGTTGTCCGTGGTACCTCTTCCTTATAAAAATTCAAATGCAATATCCATCAGTTAATCCTTATCTTCTTTCACTCAGAAGATTTAATCCTTATCTTCTTTCACTCAGAAGATTTAGGTGCTGGAGCAATGGCCCCCAACAATTTTTGCTCTAGCAGTACTGAAGGCCCTGCGAGGGCATGGCAACCTGGTGAAACTAATGATCAGATAAATCAAGTTCCGTCACTCCGCCGTTAGTACCTCTTAAGATTTTTCTTTATATAGTTATCTTTCTGCAGTTTGAGTCATATTGCCCATTTTTATTGTTTCTGTGGCTTCTGTTTTGATCTTCCTCTCTGTGCACTTGTTTTGTTTCAATCTTTATAACACTTGGTTACTTGTTTAGAATAACAATTACCACCAACAAATTACTGATTCTGCTTGAGGTGTTTTAGAACTGAAAAGTAGTGTTACACGACAGCACAGTCCATTCCCAGGTCCTGGCACCTTACAGATATTTTTTTTTTCATAGATTTGATCAGTAACAATATTGAGGTTTCTGTCTTCAACCAATGCTTTATTTACATGATTCAAAATTTCAGACTGGCATTGTTAACTTTTAATCTTTTAATGTAGTTATGCCAGATTTTGCACAAGTATACAGCTTCTTGGGCAGCGTTTTCGATCCAAGCACAAGTGGCCATTTACAGAAACTAAAGGAGATGAATCCAATTGATGTTGAGACGGTATGTGAATCATGGATAAGCTTTGTTCTGCTCAGTTAAAGTATAATTGTACGTGACAAGTCAAGACAACTGAAACATAAGCATAAAGAATGTTCTTTGTGGTACTTCACTCAAGCAATATGTATGCTTTTAGTCAGCATTTTAGATTGTTTTGTTATCTTTGTTGAAACCAACAAAAGGCATATTTAATTCATAATTTCCTTAGCATGCAATTTTCAAACTCGACATTTCAACTGACGTGTGTCCATTTTTCTCCCCTTTAGGCATTGTTGTTAATGAGAAATCTCTCCATCAATTTGACTAGTCCTGATTTTGAAGATCAGGTACGCAGCTCTCCAGCATGCCTCTAGAATTCAGTTTGGCTGTGTACTGCCATTACTTCCTTCAAAAGAAAGAAAAATGCCTTTAGAATTTGGATCATGCTTGTGTATGGTTCACTGCTGTTTGTTTTACAGAAAATGTTCCATGCAACAGAATTCAAGCATTTTCTGTCTGCTGCATTTTCCATACTTGCCTTTTTCTCTGTGATATTTTGTTGACTTCTTGAAACATATGAAAGGTAATGTTAGCACCACATTGTGCATGTGCTGTAGTACGCTAACAGTTATTGTTTACTGTGGTTTGGAGGTAACTAGTTCTGAAAATCCCATAAATGCATGTATGATGAGTATTCGTTTCTGATTTTTAACACCTTCATTTTATCAATATCATAATTTATTTCTTTCATATGGATAAACTAAACATGATTTTAGAAGCAAGTTCATGCCTTATTGGACTTAGGTGTCTGTGTTCACATTCTGTGCTTCTAGCAGGGTTGCCCATTTGCCATGGTTTCTGGTACTGTCTGTGCAGAATGGCTGGAATGTATGGGCAGCTATCAGAAAATGTGTGCAAAGTCACCAAATTTTAGCAAACTTTTGAAACTATCAGAAATTTTTGGTATGTACCAATATCAAATTTTCTCCAGTACAGCAGGTCTTAAGTTCTAGCCCTTCTCTTGTAACACACAATTGAGATGATGTATATAAGCCATAACATTATGAAGCATGAGGGCATCCAAAATAATAATAATAATAATAATAAAAGGTTGATACCATATTGAATTTTCTTTTCAAAAGAGTTACTCACCACTGAAAAAAATAGCTTTCTTTAGTATGTTGGACATGCTGTGCATCATAGCAATTTGAAATAGGATGTCATTTACAAGGCTACACAATTATGGCATTCAGTATGCTTCCATTACCCAATTAGAGCATATGTCTGTTCTTCTGAAAAAAGGAACTAACCTGTGTCCTATGAAATTTATTATAGAAGAAGTTGCTATCTTCATACAGTACCCCGTCTGATGGGCTTGAGCTAGGAAGCACCAGAAGCTCAGTTCTAGCTGATAGACCATTAAGTGCTCCATTCATGTAAGGCCTGCATCCTTTTGTTTTTGTTTTATGTCTATAATTCACAGAGAAATGAGGATCATGCAACAAATACAGGATTAAGGGCGAATAGTGCTGAGAAAGTGTGAGGTCTCTTCCCTGGCCAAACTGGCTAAAAGGTGCTGAGAAGTCTCTCCACCGATAATTTCAGCTCGTCAGTCATTCGGAGCTTGGTGAAGCACTAGGAAGGCACTTTGCAACATTGTATCTCTAGCTAAGCTTCAAGCCTTCAACTGCAGAATGTGTAAGGGTGCAACCGTGTACAGTAGGCTTGCACAGGTGAGATCTGTCTATAGCGGTATAATAGCCTAATTGTGTATATATGTTAGCCCTGAAGCGTGTAGTTTTCCTCACCCAATACCTCGGTCGCCTTGGCGCGCAAATCTTTCTCTAGTTAAAAGGCTGTTCTTAGTAATGGGAAATGGAAAGGAAATTTTGAGTGATGCTGGATTGCTGGTTGCTCCCTTTTTCCTCCATTGAGTTCAGCTGGTGATGGCATTCTCGTTTCTGTCATCTGGCAGAGAAGGCACTACTGCCCCAAGTGACCCATGGCATAGCCAGAAACAGAATGCTCCATCAGTCCATCTGATGAGATATGTGTGAAGAGGTTTCAGCTGAGCTGATTATAGTGCTGTAAAGCGGCTTAGCACTATGTAAATCATGTGTTATGCACCATGTATCATGTATGATCCTTGGAAGTTCTGGATGCAAAAGTGAGTTGTGCACTTGCCATGTAAGTTCTCTATGATGAAAAAGGCCAAGTGTACTATTGTCTATGTATATCATTTCAGTTTTTGCATAACTGCAATCGGTAAGGAGTGAAAGCCTCCGGATACCTACCGGGATTTGAATATTTGATCATGCTAGACTACCCCAATGTGAATGCTACATTTTGTTTGGGTTAAGGGAATTAGTTATTTAACCTTGTTTGGCAACTAATCTAGTTAGTCTAGTAATGCGTTTGGCCGTTTGCCTATCTTCATAAAAATCGATGAGTTTGTTCATCTCACGCTGTTGACTTTCTCTTTTTTTTTCGGGGAGTAGGGTTACTAATCTTGGACTACAAGGGTGTGCTTTAAGTAAGTTTATGATAATTATTTGAGGCCGTAAAGTAAAAAGTGTGGAGTATTTCAGGAAATGCTGATGAATAAAGTTTTTTAAAAAACAAAAATCGCTTAGTAAGCACGCCTATGATAATGGTGCACCGATTGCTTTTTCATCGGTTGAGCTACGACTTGTAAAAGAAAAAATAAAGCAACAAAAATAGTAAAACTTTTATATATGTATTATTTGTGAATTTAAATTCAAGACGGAAAAAAACTGCTTTAAAAAACCCTCACATCAACTATATAATAAAATTTTAGCTGTTGCTGATAAGTTAAAAGAAAAGTATTAAATTGTAAAATAAGTACTACATTCACCTTTTCAATATATAATATCGTTAACTTTTTAATCATTCGTCTTATTAAAAAATTTAAGTAAATATTTTTTATTTGTTACTAAAGGGACTTTAAGTATTATTTATATTTCTAAATTTTGTAAAAAAAATTAAATAAAATGAATGGTAGTTACTTCCTCTGTTTCACAATGTAAGTCATTCTAGCATTTCACACATTCATATTGATATCAATATGAATATGTGAAAAATATGAATATGTGAAATGCTAGAATGACTTACATTGTGAAACGGATGGAGTATATATTAGTAAGAAAAAAAATATAAGAGTGTCCCCGCCCACATCGCATCTCCGGTGCCAGATGCTCGTCTCGCCTTCGCCTTACCGCAAATACTTCGGGGCTTCCGGCGCACGCAAAAAAACCGCAGGTTTTCTTAGCATTCCACAGCCGAAAAAGCCCCCAAACAAAACAGCCAAGCTTGCTCGGTCGCTGCGCGCTATCTCGCCTCGCGACGACGCCATGGCCACCGCCTCCTCACTCTTCCTCGCCTCCCCCGTCGCCACCGCGCCGACAGCCCGCGCCCGGTCCACACCCTCGGCTTCCCCTGCCCGGCCGTCCCTGCGCCTCCGGCGGCCGTCGACGTTGGCCGCGGCCGCGGTCCAGGCCGAGCACCAGCCCGCGGTCGCCGCGGCGCCGAAGCCGCCGGCACTCCCGTTCCGCGTCGGCCACGGCTTCGACCTCCACCGCCTCGAGCCGGGCCTCCCCCTCATCATCGGGGGCATCGACATCCCCCACGACCGCGGCTGCGACGCCCACTCCGACGGTACGGGCGCGGTGGTGGTGGTGGTGGTGGTGGCTATTGTTGCTGCTTGGTTCTCTTCTCTATGTGCTTCCGCTTCCGCTCCTTGACTCGTTCCGTCGCTGGCCTTTCTTTGTGCGCGCAGGGGACGTGCTGCTGCACTGCGTGGTGGACGCGATTCTCGGCGCGCTCGGGCTGCCTGACATCGGGCAGATCTTCCCGGACTCCGACCCCCGTTGGAAGGGCGCCGATTCGTCGGTGTTCATGAGGGAAGCTGTGAGTTTCTCGAGCTCTGGAACCACTTTTCAGTTCATTGTTTTAAGGCAATTCGATTTTGTTTCTGCAAGCATGTTAGACTATTTGTGTGCTATTAGGACTGTTTAGACTTTTAGGAGTCCATGGAATGCTTCACCTAAACAAATTTGCTGAATAAATTTGCAGTTTCAGATATTATTGAATTCTTATGTCTAGTTAACTAGTTTGCCTACTTGAATTAGAGATAGGAAATCAAGTTTGAAGTCTAGACTCCAAACATCCAAAGTGTCTGTACTCGCACTCTCGCAATGCGGTGTGTTGCATTGGTCAAAACTAACGCAAGTCCTCCCCGGAAAAGGAAGAATTTCCCCTTAATGTTGTTGTTGTGGGTGGAGGACAGACAGTTCATTTTTACCATTTTATTTGTTGCATCTGAAAGAATGAAACACCATAAACATCGGCGGCTGCTTCTGTCTTGATTATGTTAGCTCCTGATTGCATAAGGTGCACGTGAGTCTGACTTTCAAATTAGGTCTTGGACTTTTTGTACTCTACCAGGGCAAAAGGTATTCCACGTTTTAGAATTTGAGCAAGGTGCTTATCATGTGCTTGGAATGCTGACTGCATGTTTCCCCTTGGACTTTTGGATGGAAAGTATCCCCATGCTTTAGAATTTCAACTCAACATGTGATCATTTCTCTACATGACCTCATGGAACATTGAGAACTGAAATTAGCTTATTTCCTCTTTGATTTTGCATTAAACAGCATTTGGTCCTGTCTTAGTCATCAGGCAATTGTATAGTGTATTATCCAACTGGCCTGATATTTCGTGTGCACTTTCTCTTTGGTGCTATATCATTAAAGTCAAAACATATGCTAGTTGATGCAGCTTTAGGTGGCTTCATCTGTCTCTGATCATAGTGCAAATGTGCAATTTCAGGTGAAACTGATGCATGAAGCTGGCTATGAGCTGGGGAACCTAGACGCTACATTGATCTTGCAGAAACCCAAAATTAGCCCATTCAAGGAGACAATACGGTCTAACTTGTGTGACTTGCTGGGGGCGGATCCATCCGTCGTCAATCTGAAGGCCAAGACGCACGAGAAAGTCGACAGTCTTGGTGAAAACAGGAGCATAGCTGCTCACACTGTAGTTCTTCTGATGCGGAAATAGGAAAATGGAAGTGTACTACATATTACAGGAATTGAATTGTAACATAGTGAACAAATTGTCCTTATGTAAGTGGTTTATCACTGAAATTTTAGGGCAAAAACAATAAAACCGAGTGCAATGTAAAATTTTATGTGTCCAGATTGTGTCTTGACTGTTTCACAATGAACATTAGAATTTTATGGCAGCAAGATTTTCAGCAACAATTCTGGTGGCATACGGGATCATCATTCATCAGAAGAAATAAAAGTTACTGTTAAACATAGTAAAAGTTTTTTACATCCCAGATTACAGCACAGGTCCGAAACTGAAACCAAAATGCAAATAATTATACCAAGAACACACACAAACAAAGTTTTAACAGGAAGAGCAAAATAGTACAACAAAGCAGCGTCCTCACCTCAGATGCCATTTTGCTTTCAATTTATACTGTTTGTATGCCCAAATCGATATATCGCATGTCACTTTAAGTTAGTACTTTCACACATTAGTAAATTACTAAATTAAAAGAGAGAATCAGTGTATATGAGTATATTGAGACATCAACTAATTACACTCACTAGACTCGATTGATGTACATCACCAGCTACATCTGCCATGTGTTTGTTCATACTGCGCAATACTGCATATATTTGCTCAGAGTCGCCGTGCCTTGTATCTGCTGCCACAAACTTAAAACCTTCGACCCCTCCTACATCTACAAAACTCCACCCCGCTTCCTTTTTCAAGCCAACTCTCTTCATTTCAGTCCTAATCTTTGCAGAGTCCTTCCATCTCCCAACAACGGCATAGACATTTGACAAGGAGACTCTCCATATGTCACTCTCCGGTTCCAAGATTGACAATTCTATAGCAGCTTTTTCTGCAAGATCAATGTTCCCGTAAAGAGAGCAAGCAGCCAGAAGAGGTCCCCAAATGGATGAATTGGGATGAACAGGCATGTTTCTGATAAATTGTTCTGCCTCAGCAAACCTCCCAGATCTTCCAAGTAGATCAACTACAGAAGCATAATGATCCATGCTAGGCTCAATTCTGTAGTCGTTTTTCATGCTTTGAAAGCATCTGTAGCCTTCTGAAACCAAACCAGAATGACTGCAAGCCGATATCAGACTCACAAATGTGATAGCATTGGGTGAACATGTTCCATCATCCTGCAGCTCATTAAAAATCCTTAGAGATGATAGCCCATCTCCATGAATACCATAAGCATTGATCATTGAGTTCCACGAAACAATGTCCTTAATATCCATCTGCTCAAATATCTGCTCAGAGAAATCAATTCTTCCCAACTTAGCATACATACTTATCAGGGCATTGCAGATTGAGACATCATACAAAGATCCAGACTTTATAATGTATCCATGGAGCATCTGCCCTTGCTGCAGTAATCCAGCATTAGAACATGCCTGCACTACGCTCAAGACAGTGACAAAGTCAGGCACAAGTCCATCACCACCATGAAGAATACTAAAAAGCTCCAAGGCTTCATCCACATGATCACTCTTTGCCAGGCATGAGATCATGGTGTTCCACGAAACAATATCCTTAATTTGCATACCTTTGAACACCACATATGCTGCATCAACTTGCTCAAATCTAGCATACATGCCCATCAGGGAGTTTTCGATGCTAATGCTTGGCAAATCATTCATTTTAATCAAGTGCGCATGGATTCCCTTTCCATACTTCAAGGATCCTGAAACAGTGCAGCCAAAAAGAAGCGCAGAAAGAACATCAGAATTAGGGCATACATCTCCTCTCCTCAGGTACAAATCCTCAAAAAGACCTGTGGCCTCCTCAACAAATCCATTCTTAGCATACATTATGATGAGAGAATTCACCACTGAAACATCATTCTCGAGCCCCAAGCGAACAACAAGCGCATGCAATGAACTGAACAATCCTGACTCTCCCATCAAAGAGCACGCCTGAATAACACTCAACATTGTAACGTTGTTGGGAAGGACGTTATCCTCCAGCATCATGACGAACACTTTGAGAGCTTCTGCTAGCATCCCATTAAGCACGCACCCTGAAAGCAGGGCAGTCCAAGAAACCACATCCCTGGAATCCATTCCAAGAAGCAGCTTTTCTGCGCTCACCACATCCCCAACCTTGGCGTACGTATTGACCAACGAGCCAACAACAAACGGGTCACAGCAAAACCCACTTGTCACGAGGTGGCCATGCACCATCCTCCCTAGCCTCGCGACCTTGGCTAGCCCACAAGCCTGAAGGAGAGCGGCCGCCGTGAACTCGTTGGGGCGGAGGCCACCGTCCTCGTCGTCGGCATCCTGGGTCAGCATGTCCATGTAGGCGCGGATGGCGTCCAGGGGCGCGCCGAGGCGGCAGAGAGCGGAGACGAGGGAGGCGCAGGTGGCGGCGTCGCGGCGGGGCATTTCGTCGAGCAGGCGGAGCGCGTCGGAGAGGAGGCCGCATTGGAGGTAGGCGTGCAGGAGAGAGTTCGACGCGGTGAGAGGCTGGGTACGGTCGAGCGCGCCGGACTTGAGGAGGGCAGCGTGGAGCGCGGAGGTGAGCGGCGCATCCCGCCGGTCAGCTGCCCCGCGGAGGAGGCTGACGGGGGTGGGAGCGGTGGTGGCGCGGCGAGGAGGAAGAGGAGGCGGAGGCGACGACGGAGTGGAGAGGGAGAGCATCGGAGCTTGGAGTGAGACTGAGAGCGAGAGCGGCCCAGCAAATGGATTAGAAGTTGAACCGTTCTATACCTTGCTAATTTCTTTGCATACGTACCTACGTGCACCGGCTACGGAGAAAGCAAAGAAATGCAACTTTGGGTGTACCGTGTACAAGATACATCAGTGCATCTGTGGGACTCCGCCGTGCTGCGTGTGCATCTGAACATTTCAATAGCTGATTCACTTCTATTTCTTGTCGAAAGTAGTAGGAGAATACACTGACATGTACTTCCTCCGTTTTACAATGCAAGTCATTCTAGCATTTCCCACATTCATATTAATACATCAATATGAATGTGGAAAATGCTAGAATAACTTACATTGTGAAATGGAAGGAGTATATGTCAATATCTGTAAGCCAATTAATGGAAGGCAAACTATCTTAATCGAGAGCTACATAGTTGCCAACGTTCCCCTGTATGATAAATGTTTGAACGCTTACAGTACTTCTCATGTACTCACACATTCCATTAACATCCCGAACATTGAAACGATTCCATGACACCGTAAGGTAACCCATGGAAGAGTAAAGACTTCGGTGTTTCAGGTGGATCAACTTTCCGTTAGTTTTCCTTTTTGCTGTCTGCGTCTTCAAGAGCAGAGAGCCTTTCAACAAGGGGTGGATGGGAGTAGTGGTAGGCTGAATACCACGGATCTGTGTTCATTGCAGATAAGTTCTCTTCCTGAAATTTGAAAGCAAATTCCAAATTAGGCTATGCAAATTTGCAAGCAGTTTGTGCAGGTGACCAAGGGCAATACGAACAACGAGAACCGACAGTACGATAAGAGAACGCTAATGCGGATGTTCAGTTCAAGTGAATAATGAGCGTGAAAGTACTTTGGGTAACAGAACAAGAATCAGACAGACCTTGCGGTTCAGGTGTCTAGCAATTAGAGTGAGAATAAATCAAAAGGATCTTTCGATGGTTACCTGTAGTTTAACAAGGGCTGCACGGAGCTGAGGAGCATACCCAAGGTTCTTGGCAAAAGCATCAGCCTAGAAATTATATCAAGGTAAGTGCAACTGAAAGTTATAAAGCAGCAGTAGCAGAAACTTTGAAGGGAAATAGAAAAATGAACCTGAAATTCAAATGCCCGACTGACAAGGTTCAGACAAAAACTCAGAAGGTGCTGGACAGGTATTATAGTGTGCTACAATCAAGCAACGGACATGTCAATCAAGTTGTAACTTGTAATAGAGCAATACTAGAAATCCACCAAAAAATGCAAGCCACTGCAAACTTAAATGAAAAATTACAATACCTGTAGTACTATTTTCACAGTACAAGCAGGTAGTTGTGCTAGGGAAAGACTTTGTATATCTAAGGAAGAAAATATTCTTCACAAATATGAGTAAACATACCTGAAATATGATCAGCCCAATTATTACAGGCTGATCCTCGAAACCAAAACTTTCAAAAAGGTCTTTGGAGTTCCTTACTAGCGTATATCCTCCAAATTGTAGGAACATAAGGAGCTGCATAAAAAGGAGACGAAGTGAAAAAACTCTCAACACACAAAAGAAGATTTATCTGTTTTTTTTCCTTCTTTGTACTAAAAAGCAGCAGTACTCTCCAGCAACAGATGCAAAGGGACTGTATCACAGATTCAATTTCGAAAAAGAACCATTAATCCTACTTACATGCTAAACACTGTTTATTTGCTCTGGATATTGAATAGTAACTTTTTCTGCTAACCTTATGCCAAGGTTTGTTTTGTTAAATAGTCATCCATCTAAGGAAATGGCATGCTTAGCATAACCTAGTAGCCACTCATCAGTCATCACACATCATATCCATCATAGAAGCAGGCATGTCAAACACAGTACAAAAAAAGGGGCCAGGCGGGTCCAACTGGAAAAACCCAGGACCAGATCCTAGTTTGGTTCGGTCAGAAAAAAAGAAAGTTATGGTAAAAATAGGGGAAATAGTTTTTTGAGTCAAACCAAACTTGGGTCCCATCTCACAAGTATGTTGGGCTTCTAGCCAAATGGATTGAGCTAAATATTATTCTTTGGCGATATTATGCATATTTGAAAAAAAGTGTATTAGTTGCGGGATCAGACTTAAAATACGTTTGAATATAATATTTTTGACAATTCACCAATTGGACCGGGTAGACCAGTAAAACCAAGTACCAGCAGAGTGACCAGTTAAGCACCAGTCAGGATTTTCATGCTATGGTCATGCAGTATTTACTTTGAACAAACAGGGAAGTCACTTTTCTTAATAGTAAATTCTTTACCAGAAACAATATTGAAATTAGCTACCCTGTCCTAGTGATCAAATGCTTGCATTTATGCACTTTTCTTATCTGTAACCAAAACAATAGTTCTCATTCATGCATTACATGATACAATGATAAAGTTGGGGGGAGGGGCACAAAAATGCTGCATGTCCTTTTAGGAGAACCAACGGGACATTTCGGATTACATACACATTTTTTATCCCAGAAGTACACAAATACTATATCAACAAAATAGATGAACAATTGTTATGCAAAGTTTATCATGGCATCAAAGAGAATACCTGGACAGCTACAAAGGAATACACAGTGTGGTTGAGTTTCCAGTGCCCAAGTTCATGTGCAATAACAGAAACTATTTCATCCTCACTACTACACTGAAACCGACAAAAGGATCCAGGTGAGTTTCATGCATGTAATTCAAAATTATAATGAAACTAAACAACTTAGCATATAACCTGCTGAATCAACGTGTCATAGAGAACAATGCGCTTGTTCTTGAAAAACCCATACATGTAAGCCTGAAAGAAAATTGTCAGTTCAAAGCACACAGAAAATTACAAACTATCAGTTATCAATGAACCACAACCCTGAAGGTAGAGTAATCAACATACATTACTGTGGCTTGATCTGGTAGACCCATCCACCACGAAAAGCTTTTTCAATGGAAAACTGAGTGAAGCTGCTAATTTCTCTATTTTCTCTCTGAGTACTCCTTCTGGAAGCTGTTAAAATATGTGCAACCATATCTAGTTATACCTCAAAAGAGCTTTTGCCATCCGTACGGCTTATTAATAGGTCAACGTAGTTCAATAACATGGGACACGAATTAGAAGATGCACAATGGATGCATGTACCTTTCTCACACAAAAAACAGACAAGTGAACTAATTACAGCATACTAGGTATGCTCTACAACAGAAAAAGATACTAACCGGAGTGAATTTGTTGAACAGAGGTGCTATCACGATGGGGTATATTGTCATCATCACAAGAGATAATGCAAACATAAAACCCCATAGATATATTGCCAGGTAGGGCCCTCCATTCTGAAGCACAGAGAAATAAACTAATCAGTTCACACACTTCTACGAGTTTGTGGTATTCGGGCCCAGATCCCGCAAAAAACAGGTAAGCCTGTTCTCCAGATACTAGCCAACAATGAAGAAGTGTGTGGTAGAAAGACAGGAGATACCTGTACTATGATGATAATAGCAGCCACAATAGGAGGTCCAAGTAAGATGGATAGCAAAATCCCTTTGATCATGTCCCTAATGAAGAGCCAAATAGTTTGCTGAAAAAAGTCCAAAGCTAGAGGTTCAGAATAAATATGTTGGGGATTAGAACATAGCAAATTCATAAGCCAAGATACTTTTGTACTTCACTAATCTTGCAGGTGAACACCATTCAAATGTTAAAACATATAATAACTGAGGTGCTAAAATTGAGAACACAAACATACCTTGTTAAAACCATGTTTAGCTTCAATAACAAATGTTGAATAAAGAGAGAATGGTAAGTCTGTGATCTGCATTGCATGAAGTATGTATCAGTGTTTCACATCAAATAGTGGAGTTGGCATGTTTTAGCTGATGGCTTGCAAAAGAAGTTGATTCACCATAAGAGAACACTATGCCAAAGTTCTAGTAGATGTAGACCTAAACAATCAATATCAGTATGCAACTATGAACATAGGTGTAGATTAACATGTAAAAGTCACTGGATGTACTCAACAGAAAAGGGCAAAAGGATGATTACTCTTATCCAAGGTAATAAATAGTGTATAGCGGGTTGTTAGCGGATTAGTGTCTGTGTAGCGGATTGCGGATAGCGGGCGCTATTGCGGACGCTAAGTTCCAATAGCAAATATAAGAAAATAACCATAAATATATCAATATTAACATCAAATTCATACATTTTTAATTACTCCTATATTTCATAACATAAAAAGTATGAAATAACATATAGATATATAAGATAAATAAGATAAACAATGTAAAGTTCTACAATCCATAAATGAAGAACAACATTTAAGCGTTATAATGGTCCAACAAAGTCAATAGCGGGCTGTTATAGCGGTCGCGAAGCGCTATATTTGAGATAAGACTCTTATCTCAAATATCCTGATCTTGATACATGCAAATTTAAGAAAATACAGGCAACTTTTGCCACTATTTTTCAAGTTGAAAAATGGTCCAGTCAGAGAAGAACTAGAGTGGCTGTTCATGTCTGTCAGGGCCAAAAGCAGAATAGGGAAATGCATGTCAATAGTTTCATAGGTGTCACTATGCTATGCGCTTCAGTCCTGACTAATAATAACTTTTGATGCAGTAACTAACGACATAGACAATCCAGCAACCACCATTTGTGTTAAACTAAAGCTAGCGATTGTCAATCATGGAAAGCTAAGGCTTCAGTTTATACCTAACTCAATGTGCTGGAAGACAACTGGAAGCTAATTTAATTTTGAATGCAATGAAGGTAAAAATATATGTGCAATAAACATATAAGATGCTTGGCAGGTACAAGTAATTATTCTATACCTGTGACCAAATCATGACACCTGCTAAGAATGCAAGAGTGTGTAGTATCTCATTTTCAGCATTTAGGCCAGCATTGGTTGCTAGCTCTCCAGATTTCTACAAAAGAAGGCTAATCACAACAAAATACTTGCATAAAGAGTTTACAGAGGCAAGCTGATTGATTTTGTTTTACCTTCCAAACCCAGGGAAGAACTCTATAGTACAGAATTGTGGTATCCATTAATATAGTTACAGCTTCATGGATAAAATGGAATTTGCTGTAACATGAGCATAAATGTCAACACACAAAATCCAAAAAATTGGCAGTCTGAATTACTTTAGAACGATTGCAGTAAAATGAATAATGTAAGGTTGCAAAAGGTGAGAGCAGTATTACACATACCTTTTATCAAGGCTATAAGCTCTGGAGCGCTCAAACTTTTCACCACTAATTACTCCTACCAGGGGTTTTGGCAGTGTTGGCAACTTAAGGGCTCTATGCTGACGGATGTCAAGATATGTCTCAAATATATACATGAGAATCATAAAGCCTGCAAAACGAATACAAATTTTTAAAAAATTATTTCATCATATACAATATCCAGTGTTGAATGTAAATATATACCATGACCTGACTTCACTCGAGAGGCATGAGTCTTAGCTAACATATGCAAGTCACAGATCCTATTACAAGTAACTTCTTTTCAGAATAGATATTGCCATCTTAAACTCATAAATCACCACAAACTCTACAAATATTGCATCCTACTGCATGATAGAGAGTGTTGCAACACAACAAAAATACAGAAATTCAACCCTCATGATCAATTAAGCCAAGATGACTTCGCAGCTCTATCGCACATCTCCACTCTAACTACACTCAATCACAGACGGTCTTCACTGTATTTATTAAGAACAAAAGCGTCTGTGCCATACATTTTCACTTCACCGGTTCCTATAATCACATCATTGAATGATGGGCACTCAGCAAATCATCAACACAAAAGCAAACCAGTATACTAGGAACAGCTAATCACGAACAACATAAAACATGGCATCGATACCGACATTCAGCAACTTCATTGCATCAGCGCCAAGGCCCTTCTCCCCCAGCGCCAACGCCATCGCCAATCGCATTAAGCTCCCTCGACTCAACTTAGATTAATCCACCCTACCCGCTACCACCAAGCCGCCACGCCCAATCGCCACCACAGCACGAGCAAATCGAGCCGGAGATTAAAAACCCAAGCGCCCACCCAAAAACCCTAGGGTTTACGCACGGATCCCCCGTTCCAACCGAAACCCGACGCCATCCCCACACAGATCAGCGATCAAGGCGAGCGTACCACCGCACCAAACGAGAGATGGGGGAGGCGAGGAAATCTTACACAGCACGGCCTCCAGGTAAGGAAGCGCCATTGGAGCAGGATGGGTGGCGGAGGAGGCGCTCCGGGAATCGCTAGGCGGCGGGAGACGGGGGAGAGGAGGACTGGGGGAGGCACGGGCCGGGCCGGGGACAGAAGGACCAGAAGAGGGGGAGGGAGGGAATAACAGAGGGGCTGCGTGAGCGTGATGATGCGGAAAGGGTCGGGAGTGGGGGATACTTTGCTCGATTCCGTTGCTCGGACCTCGGAGAGCCGGACTGGGGAGGAAGGTATAGGAAAAAAGTACGCCGAAGATCTCTTAACTTGTCATTGAGTTATAAAATCGTCATTAAACCACGAAACCAGATATAACGCATTTCTCAACTTACAAAACCAGTGTAAACTCTGGTTTTATCCGACGTGACAGCTGACTCAGCATGCGATCCACGTGGGCCCACACGTCAGCCTCTTATTCCCCTCCCCTCTCCACATCTCTTCCTCTCTCCTCTCCTCTCCACGGGAGGCGGTGGGGGAGCAACTATGTACGGGCGGCAGCCGAGGGGAGCAGCTGGTCGCCGGTGGCGGGCACAGACGACGGGGGAGGAGCTATGCGCGGGCCGCCGTCGCGGGAGGAGCTGCACGCGGGCGGTGGGGGAGGAGCGGCGAGGGAGCAGCTGGGTGCGGGTGGTGGGTCCCACTTCCTCCGCCCATGGCGAGGGGATAGCGTGGCGAGCCGCCGCCTATGCAAGGAAGCCGTCGAGGTTGGAGGGCGGTGCAAAGGACAGCGGAGACAGGGTGCGGAGGACGGCGACAGCGAATGTGGTGAGGGACGGCGGCGCGAAGATGGAGGAGACGAGGAAGAGGAAGAAGTGGTGCGCGTCCTCCTCCTCCTCCTCCTCCTAGAACCTATCACCATCGTCATCGCCGTCCGCCATCACCCCGTTCCGCGCCGCCGACTTCGCACGTTGCTGCTCCGCCCACCATTGCCCCACTTCGCCTGCCTGCTCTGCCTGACGCCGCCCCGCTGGCTTTGCGCGTCATCGTCCCACTCCTCCTCCTCGAACTTGTCGCTATCGCCATCCTCATCCGCCATCACCCCGCTCCGCGCCGCTGGCTTCGCGCGTTGTCGCTCCGCCACCATCGCCCCACTTTGCCTGCCTACTCTGTCCGCTGCCGCCCCGCTGACTTCGCATGTCATCGTCCCACTCCTCCTGCCTGCTCCGCTCGCGGCCACCCAACTTCGCCCCACCTGTCTTCTCTGCACATACAAAACTATATTAAGGACAAATCTCCTAACCTCACACCAATCCCAAAATGCAAAAACAAAACCCCTAATTTATAGTGTATTAATGCTTATTAATGCGATAGGAGCTATAGGTTTTAAAAACACCTCGTAAAACTGTCTATTTGACATTAGGGCAGCCACAATAAGCCAATAAAAAGGATTATAAGGCTGAAAAGATTTCTTTGGTTGGCTATATATATATTATGGCAATAGACCATAAATAATAAATATAAAAAGTAACCATAAGCTTATGGCCCAAACACAAGCAATAAAATAATACAGTATACACACACTGAAAAATAGAACCAAACAAGAGGAGAGAAGCAGTCAGTGCTTGATACAAATTATTTTTTTACGTTGCACCAGCTATAAACATTGTGAAATGTTCTAGACCATTTTTTCAAGCAAGTGAATCCTAGCTTAAGAGCGTGTTAATCTTATACAAATTAAGAATGCTCTTAACTTTTTTTTTTCAAAATTTTGACTATCAGCTTTCTATTAGATCCAAATGGTACTTTCTCCGTTTCACAATGTAAGTCATTCTAGCATTTCCTACATTCATATTGATGTTAATGAATCTAGCTAGATATATATGTCTAGATTCATTAACATTAATACGAATGTGGGAAATGCTAAAATGACTTACATTGTGAAACGGATGGAGTACTATCTAACAAAATTATTATATCGTTAAAATAATTATAATGAAAAAAACACTCATATAATTCTTATGCCTTAAAAGGAGCTATTGATGGTTAAAGTTTAAAAATTTTGAATGAATAAAGTCTAACAGTGTCATGTTTAAATACAAAGAGAATATTTGTTTGGACTTAGACTAAGTTATAAGTCAATTGATAAGTCCAAGAAAGACGGATTTAACGTGGGGCTTAAAAATCCAAATACATATTTATTATCTAAAAAAGACCAAACAAACTTCTTGTAGATATTTGTAGGTTGAAACATGGGCTATTCCTTTTCTTTTGTTTAAGACCTTGTTATCTTCTAGTTGGCTTTCTCCAAAATTCCAGGCAATGAGAATTACCTTCCATTCTCAAAAACAAAAACGTGGGCTATTGGACCGCACCTGGAGTTCAATGGGCAAGGGCTCAATGGGCTGCGAGTTCATCTAGCCCACGTCGAACAAGTTCGGCACTAATAGGCCTATACGTCGAACAAGTTCGGAATAAGTTCACTTTGGGTCCCTCTATTTGTCGCCCAGTCTGATTTTCTTCCCTTGACCACAAAACCAGCTACGACCCGTCCCCCAACTTACGAAAACCGGACAAACGAGGTCTCTCGGCGGTTTTGGCTGACGTGGCGCCTACGTGGCTTGTTTGACTAGGTCTCTGTCCCACGTGGCATTGACGTGGTGCTTACGTGGCAATTCAACCCGAAAAATAAATAAAACTTGTGAGACCCACATGTCAGTTTCACGCAGGAATTATAAAAAAGGTGGGGCCCACGTGGGCCCCACATATCAGTTTCACACAGTCTTTAGGGCACATCTGGTGGGCCCCACGCTGGCCTTCATGGACAGGCACCTCCTCGTCGTCCAGGACATCGCCGCGGTGCTCTTCCCGGCCACCGAGCGCGTCCTCGGCAGGGCCGACGACCTCGTCCTCCTCGTCGAGTCCCTGCCCGCCAAGCTCACGGCGCGATCGACGGCCTCGAGGCCTTCGTCGCCGGCGCCGTGGGGCACCCGCTGGGGCACGGGGCACGGCGGTGGTGGCGGCCGAGCACGGGGGAGCTCCCCATCCCATCCACTGTCTTTCGCTTCGCCTAGCTCGCCCTCCGCTGCTCTGCCCGCGGCCGCGCTCGCCCGCCGCCCCTCCGCCGCCGCGCTCGCCCTCCGCTGCTTTGCCCACTGTTGCGCTTGCCCGCCGCCGCTCCTCTGCCGCGCTCGCATATTGTGTGTTAGTGGCTGGTTGCAGGAAGCAGGTAAATTAGCTAGCTAACAACGCTAATGTGCTAAGCAAGCTAATGAATTAAATATGACTCATGCATGAGTCATGCACGAAATGGCATATACACACACACACACATACATGTGAGTGTGCTCAGCCATATACACATGCTTGGCTAATATATACGTCTGCATGTTGTTGGCGGCAAACCAACAAGAAGCTAGCTAGAGGCTATAGCTGGTCGTCTCCATGCATGCATATATATGCTCGCACGAAGACGCATATGCATGCGGCCGTCTGTACCCGGCGTTATAGATGGCCATCTGGGCCGCCCGGCACGGCACGGCCCAAGCCCGGCCGTGCCTGGGCCGAGGCTTGTCGGGCCGGCACGGCCCGACCGATGCACCGGGCCGTGCCGTGCCAGCCCACGGGCGGCATACACGGCCCAGGCACGGCCCAATACTAGTCGGGCCGTGCCGGGCCGGCCCGAAGGCACGATGGGCTATTGTGCTGCCTCACAGAAAGAGTCTATTTTTGATCCCTCAACTCTGTGGGCTGTGTTTAAATGGCTGGAAATAAGTCTATTTTTGATCCCTCAACTCTGTGGGTTGTGTTTAAATGGCTGGAAATAAGTCTATTTTTGGTCCCTCAACTCTGTGGGTTGTGTTTAAATGGCTGGAAAATAAGTCTATTTTGTATACCTATTTTCTTGGGCCATGCCTTATACGATTATATAAGTCTATTTTTTGTCCCTATATTTTTTTTATTTGATCGGGCCGTGCCGGGCCGGCCCACCGTGCCGAGGGTGCAGCCCAGGCACGGCCCGGCTGTCGGGCCGGGCCGGCACGGGCACGACCCTAGTCGGGCCGGGCCGTGCTTGGGCCGGGCCAAAATTGCGGGCTTCGTGCCGGGCCGTGGGCCTCGGGCCATATGGCCATCTATACCCGGCGTATATGCGTATGAGCTACTCCTATGGGCTCGGAAGGAACTCGAGAACTTGGAGGTCGTCACGGCGGACGACGGCGGCGGTGGCGGTGGCGGTGGCAACAACGTGCATGGCGACAAGGCTCCCGTTGACGGCAAAGGAGAGGCAGCGACTCCGGCGAAACGCGCCGACGTATCAGGTGGCCAAGAATGCGGCGTGGTCCGCGTGGAGGATGTACAGCGGGTGGAGACGCCAGCTGGAGAGATCACGAATGCCATGAAGGACACGGAGATCATGAAGAATAAGGACCAGGAGAGAGGAGGCAGCGAGAGGGAAGAAGAGGAGACCGTTGCCATGGCCGGCACGGGGAGCAGGGAGGAAGCATTGCTGGTTATCTTCGATACAGCATGGCAACAGGGGAACCTCCTTATCGGCGGGAGCGGCGGGACGGCGGGTGCGCTTGCACTAACTCGTGGCCATGGCGGGTCAGGGAGGCAGGCGACGCCGCTGGTCGCTGGGCTGTGGCGGCGGATGGAGTCACGTCGTCGGTAACCGTCGGCGGGCGCGGGCGGCGAAGGGCGGTGGAAGAAAAGGGGATAGAATGACATGTGGGGCCCACGTGGGCCCTACCTTTTTTATAATTTCTATGTGAAACTGACATGTGGGTCCCACAAGATTTATTTATTTTTCGAGTTGAATTGCCACGTAAGCGCCACGTCAATGCCACGTCGGACAGAGACCTAGTCAAACAAGGCACGTAGGCGCCACATCAGCCAAAACCACCTTCAAAACCGCCGAGGGACCTCGTTTGCCCGGTTTTCGTAAATTGGGGGACGGGTCGTACCCGGTTTTGCGGTCAAGGGACGAAAATCGGACTGGACTAGAAATAGAAGGGACCCAAAGTGAACTTATTCCAATAAGTTCGGGTATTTGGGCCAGAGGCCCAGATCTGATCGTTTCAACCCACGGCCAATCTACGAATGACAAATGTGCGCCAGAGTGCCAGTCTGCCAGACATCTCCAATCCTTTTCCCCGTGGCTATGCTCAACTACCCGTAATTCTGGGAAGGAATAAGTTCACTTTAGGTCCCTCTATTTGTCGCCTAGTCTGATTTTCGTCTTTGAACCTCAAAACCGGGTATGACCCGTCCCCCAACTTACGAAAACCGGACAAACGAGGTCCCTTAGCAGTTTTAAGGGTGGTTTTGGCTAACGTGGCGCCTACGTGGCCATTTTGACTCGATCTTCATCTGATGTGGCACAAACGTGGCGCTTACGTGGCAATCCGATCTAGAAAAATAATAAAACCCGTGGGCCCCATATGTCAGTCCAACTCATCCCTCCTCTTCTTCCTCCTCTCTCCCCATCTCCCCTCTCTTCATCTCTCTCTCCTCTCCTCTCTCTCCAGGCGACGGCGGCAGCTCCTCTCCCTCCCACCTGCGGGTCGCCGCACGCCACTCCCTCCCGCTGGTCCCCGTGCGCCGCCGCTCCTCTCCCGCCCTCCCACCGGCCGCCAACGCTCGCGCACCACCGCTCCTCTCCCTCCCTCCCATCAGCCGGCGTGCGCTGCCTCATCTCCCACCGGCCGCCCCGACGAGCTCGCCTCCTCCCTCGCGGCGACGGACAGCGCATGGCTGGCGGCGGGCGACGGCACGCGAGGCGCCTGGGGTGGCGGCAGCCATATCTCTCTTGCGCACGCTCGCCGAGCCGTCCGCCGCCCTTCTCCTCGATGGCCACCGGCGGGAGAAGAGGGATCGAAGCCGCGCGCCTCTCCCCGTCCCTCAGTCGCCGCGGCCCTCCTCCCGTCGTCCTCCCCCTCCGCCGCACCCTCTCGCTCCCGCTCCCCCGCGCCGCCGACTCTACTTCCTCGCCACCGCGGCCGGGACGGCCGCACCGACACCCTCCCCTTGTCGGAGCTCCGCAAGCGCCATGGCGGCTCCGCTGTTTCTGGTGGTGGTGGTGGTGGTGGTGAGGACGAGAAGCTCCACTTGCTCCGTTGCCTCCTCGCACGGCCCGATGTCGCCATCGACCCCACGCGCCGTCGCCTGCCACCAGCCATGCGCTGTCCGTCGCCGCTCCGCCCGCCCCGTGGCCTGCCGCCACCGCCGCTCCGCCGCAAGGACGAGGGAGAGCCGAGAGGAAGAAGAGGAAGAGCCAAGAGTGGAGAAGGAGAGGTGAGGGGAGCCGGCGAGCTCAGCTTGGGGGGCGGCGGGAGCGGCGTCATCAGCGTCGCTCCGCCCACCGCCCGCCGCCGCTCCATTTCGCCGCGCTGCCGCTCCGCTTCCTCCCGTCACCCACCGCCCGCCGTCACTTCATTCATCGCTGGCCGCTGCGCCGCTTCGCTCCGTCGCCACTCCGCTCCATCGCCGCTCCGCCCGTCGCCCCCTCAGCACCGTCGCTCGCCCTTCTCTCCTGGCAGTGTAGGGGGGAGAGAGAGGGGGATAGAGATAAGGAGGCTGACATGTGGGACCACATGGCCCCACCTTTTTTTAATTATTTTTTGTGTAGCTGACATATGGGTCCCACTATTTTTATTATTTTTTCGAGATAAAATTGCCACGTAATCGCCACGTCAATGCCACTTGGGATGAAGACCTAGTCAAAGGAGCCACGTAGGCGCCACATAGATGCCACATCGGCCAAAACCGTCCTCCATACTGCCGAGGGACTTTGTTTGCCCGGTTTCGTAAGTTGGGGGACGGGTCGTACCCGGTTTTGTTGTCAAGGGACGAAAATCGAACTGACCGACAAATAGAGGGACCTAAAGTGAACTTATTCCTTCTGGGAAACCCCAGCCACTGTAAATGCAGTGATATGGAACGGACACTCGAACTAAGAGTAAGTTAAATAGTACAGTCACCTGTAAGCGCTAAAAATTTACCACGTCATCTAACAGCTAATTAAACCACGCTAAATACAGTAATCGGCTATAACATTTGCTTTACCCAACGTAAGGTTCTATCTTTCTATTGGCTGTTCGCAGGTATCTCTTCCCTTGCACAGGGCTGCGTCAGAGCACCCGCAATGGTAAAGTAAGGTGCTATCTATAAAACATGTACATCTCAGCAATAGACTCGATTAATAGTAAACCACCTTAATAGTATGTCTACATTTGTATCTATAGCTCTCTCATGCATTGTCTCGTTTTTCTCTATAGACTATCTCTAAGTTAGTAGATAGCTTTGCTCTCTCTCTTCATTTAATACATTCCAAGTAGGAAAATATGCTGACATGGATCTCTTGTAGAGAGCCTATAGATAACCATTGTGGGTGCCCTCAGAGAAAGTTTCTAGGCACTCGCGCCTGAGCCGGTGATAATATAGTCGTTCGCTTTTATCTCTCCGCTCTTTCTCTCTCTGCCACGTATGTTAAAATCTTATGTAAGCAGGCTATTAGCTCATTATTGTACTTGCTCTGATACTAGTACTATACATACTGATACTTGTGCGTGCCGTGCAAGAGCAAGGGCCTCATTAGAAGCCAAAGCCAAAATTTGAATTTTAAAACTTATTTTTGAATTTGATTTTAATATTTTTTCAACATAGTTCTTTTTCAACTTTGGCTTTTTAACCAGTAAGAACATATCATTTTTTAATTCCTAATAAACCGTTATGACTTAGGTGGTGTTTAGATCCAGGGACTTAACTTTAGTCCCTGTCTTTAGACACTAATTTAGAGTATTAAATATAGACTACTTACAAAACTAATTACATAAATAAAAGCTAATTCACGAGACAAATTTTTTAAGCCTAATTAATCTATAATTAGAGAATGTTTACTGTAGCATCACATAGGCTAATCATGGATTAATTAGGCTCATTAGATTCGTCTCGCAAATTAGTCCAAGATTATGGATGGGTTTTATTAATAGTCTACGTTTAATATTTATAATTAATTTTCAAACATCCGATGTAATAGGGACTTAAAAGTTTTAGTCCCATCTAAACAGGGCCTTATAATAAGAAGTGGGCACCAGATGGGGACCCAAGCGAGCAACCAGCACTAGAGTGGGCTGGTTGGCCGACTGCTGTACGCCTGTAACGACTGCATACTGAAAACAACGCAATGCAGCAGAATTGGATCCTGCAACTCCTAGGATTTCTGTGCAAGCATTATTCTTTACCGGATCTGTCAGATTCATCCTACTACCTCCACTTCCGTCCCATAATAAATGCAGCCGTGGATATCCGTGTCCAACGTTTGACTGTCCGTCTTATTTAAAAAATTTATGAAAAAATTTAAAAAATTTAGTCATACATAAAGCACTATTCATGTTTTATCATCTAATAGCAATAAAAATACTAATCATAAAAAAAATTCAAATAAGACGAATGGTCAAACGTTAAATGTGAATAGTGTAAAACTACACTTATTTTGAGACGGAGGGAGTATCTTTTGTCACAGTCATATTTGGGCTTGTAGGTTCAGCCACCGGCTGTTCTTCGGAGTTCAGAGGATGCTGAATTTGCTGATACTGATCAAAGTTGGAGCACCAACTACAGACGAGTACCAACTGGTTCAAGGAGACAACCGCTTAACCTAACTCGTGCCTCCTTGCATGCCCTCTTTGGTCTTTGCTGCTGTCGATATCTATTGACACAGTGATGCCCCTGGTCGTCTTTTCTACAGTCCCGATCAAGTACTACGGACGAAATAGATTTGCAGATCCACTAACATCGATCAGGATGCTGCCGGCCGGGTTAATTTATCAGCGAGTCGTGACAAAAGCTAGCTATACTCATCAACTGACACTGTAGCGTACAGTTGACGTCACCGCTGTTAATCCTGACGAGCTGTGCCCTTTGTCGAAGGCTAGGAGTATTGCCAGGTATATTGAAATACAGTTGCTAAACTGTGACGACAGAAGAAACAGCAGACTGCACGTTGATGATGATGATCGACCGACCCACCCTTGCTGCATCTGAATCTCGCGCCCACTCGCCAGTGTCCAAGTTGCCAGTTCAACTTGTATTAATTCGGAACACTGCTGGAACCAGGGTGCACAGGCCAAGAACAGATATGGTCCATAGCGTACTCGATCCATGCCATACCCTATCGATCTCACCCGGAGATATTCTCTGATACTACTGCCTCAGCTTAACTTGACTCGGACTATCTTAGCTAGGGGGAGACTGAAAGTCTGAGCTCTGAAACTCACCGTCGTCGCCTGCTTATAATGGTCTGCGAGAACGAATCGGATTCCCAAGCTATTGCCTCCTGCTTGCTCTGATGAAGAAGCATTTCTTGGAGATCAGAAATGAGTGTATATACTACTACTAGCACATCGGTCAGCGGCGACCGTGATGACGCAAGGGAGGATGCCGGAGACGGGAGTGGAGACAAGCGCTTGCGAGCCAAGCAGGCTGCGGAGGAGGCGACCTGCATCGCGCGCGCGCTAGCTGTCTCTTCCGATGGCCCCGGCCGTAAGCAGGAGGCCAGCTTGGACTAATTTGTTCCCTTCGCGCCCGTGCCGATGGCCTCCATACGAAGCAACAAACAAAGGGATCGGCCCTGGTCGAGCCCGTGGCCTTTGTCTCGGGAAGAGATTAGGTGCACCGCCCGGCATGGGATGCGCGGGACGGGATGCCTGCCTGCCTGATGCCCTGATATCATTCCCGGATTCCTTGCTGGGCGTTGAGTTTCCGGTGCCAGGATTTTGTTCTTCCCTTTGTTTTGGGATATCTTGTTATCCCATTTGTAGTTTTGTTATTCCCCAATGTCGCATGTACTACATCATTACATGCATCATGGTCATGGACGCCCAAGTTCTCATGTTCAGTTCCTGAATCGGCGGGGATATGATACGTGTGGTTGATCGTCAGGTGAGAGATCGATCCATCAGGATTTTTATTTTTTTTAGAAAAATATTTTACTAATAAACCTCTAGAAAAACTTCTTAGAGTAAAGTCCATCACCGGTCCCTAAACTTTTACCGTTGTGTTATCCCAGTCTCTAAACTCGCAAATCGACCGTTCAGATCTCAAACTTGTTCGACTGTGTCATCCCAATCCCTAAACTTGCAGATCACTCGTTTAGGTCCTCCAACTTATTCAGTTGTGTCACACCAGTTTCTAAACTTGGATTTGTATATCATCTGGACCAAATAGGACGGTCTAAAAGACTTTATATTTAAAAATAATTTATAACTTTTTCATGTGAACTCTAATGAAGACAAACTTTATATCAAACTTGTAGCCCTCGACGCGATCTACAACTTTGTAGTTGAATTTTTTTTATTTTAAGTCATTTTTTTTGTCCCAATATGTTATTTTAAAATTAAAATTTCAAAATCTATAAACATGCAACAATATTTTGGGACCCTAAACAGTTTTAATTCAAAAACTTTTCAACTACAAAGTTGTAGGTCGCGTCGTGGGCTACAATTTTGATATAAAGTTTGTCTTCATTAGAGTTCACATGAAAAAGTTATGAATTATTTTTTGATATAAAGTTTTTAGACTGTCCTGTTTAGGGACCAGGGTGACACAACTGAACAAGTTGGAGGTCCTAAACGAGTGATCTGCAAGTTTAGGGACCGGGATGACACAGTCAAACAAGTTTGAGAATCTGAACGGTCGATTTGCGAGTTTAGGGATCGGGATGATACAGTGGTACAAGTTTAGGGACCGGTGATAGACTTTACTTAACTTCTTATTTACATAAATATATGCCTTTCGCGGCACCAACGTCATTAACGCCGTGGTTTAACATGATGGACAATATGATGATACCATCCCCTTGACGTTAGTGTCATTTGCGTCGATCATTTTACATCAATGATTTAGTTTTCTTAGGAACAAGAGGGATGCTAACATCACCATAAGGATTCAATTCTAGAATAAGGTTTTCCTAAGGATCTATTTATAAAATAAGGCTTTAAAAACGGGAATGCTAGGGGATGGGATACCGTTTCCCAACGGGATGCTTTTCCCCCACAAACGCGATTCTCACCCATGCGACACGGCCGAAGCCATCAGCGCGCGCCCGTCCCCCGCCGCCGCCGTCCCCGTTCCCTACCGCCGCCGCTGTCCCCGTCCCCCGCCGCCGCCACGCCCGTCGCCGCCGCGCCCGCACCCGCCGCCGCCGCCGCCGCGCTCGTCCCCCGCCGCCACCATCCCCGTCCCCCACCGCTGCCGCGCCCGTCCCCCGCCGTCGCCGCCGTGCCCGCACCCACCGCCGCTGCCGCCGTCGCCGTCCTCGTCTACAGGGGACGGCTGTAGGTGGCCGGCCGCGTCGGGATGCTCTCCCCAACGGGATGTACAGTTATATCTACTAGGGATCACCTGATACCTGGTAAGTATCATCCGATACCTCGTAAGTATCACGCGATACATAGCAGAAATCGTCTGATACCTGACATGATACCTCGCGAGTATCACGCGATACGAGGTAGAAATCGTCTGATACCTGACAGGTATCACATGAAACCTCGCGAGTATCACACGATACGTGGTAGAAATCGCATGATTCCTGATAAGTATCACATGATACTTTGCAAGTATCACCTGAAACGTGTGTAGAATCGTCTGATACCTGATAGGTATCACACCTGATACCTACTCGGGATCATCCCGTTCGAAAACGGGATTCCGTCGTATCCCCTTTTAAAAAAGAACTAAAATAAAAATATTTCCCCTGGATCCATTCTCCCGTCAGTTCGTGATGATTGTTTCGCCACACTTTACCACACAGCCAGTTCCATTGTTCCAATATAGCCATTCGTCTACAGCTTGCGGTTAATTTTGTTGCAGTGTAGGAGTCTGACAAGCAACCACCGCCCGGGTCGGAGGACGGCGAATCGGGAACCCGTACATGTTACCTGAAAGGGACATCAGAATTCAGTGCCCGTGATGGGCTGCTGCTGATGGACGCGGAATGACAAGCACGCATGACATCGAGGACGAGGTGGATGCCTTGCCTTCCCACTCCCACAGTCCCACTCCCTCGGCCCTCGCTCGCGTCGTTGCCGCCTGCGCGCGCCAACCACCCACCGCCGATCCACCCGCATGCGTACGTGCAAGCCCGCGCGTCGGGGCCCCTCCAACTCGCGCGCCCGTATCGTCCGTGACTCCGGCCCCCGAACCGGCCGGTCCTAACCTTCGTACGCCGTTGCCGCTTTGCCCCCGTCCTTCTCTTTTCGGCTTCATGATTTGTACCAGTAACCAGTGTACCACACACACCGCAAGATAAATGACACGAGACAAAATGCGAGGACGCGCGAAAGCACAGAGACGCACGCACGGTGTCACCGGACTAATCTCCAATTTGATATCGAGTAGCAGTACTTGTGTATTGCCCCGGAGTAACCCACATCGCGGGTGATTACACAGCGCGCGTGCGAGCGTTGCACGTACGCGTTACGATTACACGCGCCATGCCCGTGGTGAAGGGTGGCGGTGGCGCGGAGGCGTCCTCGGCGCGGGCGGCCTTGCCGCCGGAGCCACCGGCTCGCGGCGTGAGGAGGGGGGCGGGTGGTGGTGGTGGACGAGGGAGGCAGTAGCCGCGAACACGCCGTCCCAGATCTCGGCGAAGGCGCGGAGGATGACGTCGTGGTGGTGCGGCGCGTTGAGGGTGAGGAAGCGGCGGAGCATCTCGCGGAGGTCCTCGCCGGCGACGATCCCGTTCTCCACGATCATCTGCAGCATCGACTGCCGGAAGTCGCCCAGCGGGTCGTCGGACTGCTTCACCACCGCCACGCTGCCGTCGAGAGCCACACCGACGCCGTCGCCGCCGCCGCCGCCGTCGCGGCAGTCTCCTGGTTTGTCCGTGGCATCGCCGTTGCCGCCGTTCTTCTCCTTCCTGTCCTCCTGTGGCGGCAGCGGCGACGACGGCGCCGGCGAGTGTTTCTTGTCGTGGTGCTGGTGGTGGCTCTTCCGGCCCCACGACGCGACGCTCTGCTCCAGCTCGCTGAGCTCGCGCAGAAGGCCGGAGAAGCTCTCCGGCCCGCAGCCGCCGCCGCCGTCGTGGTCGAACTCCACCACGGAGTGCTCCCAGAGGAAGGACGACGACGCGGACGTCATGGTAAGAGTGTCCGTCGTCGTCGACCCCGACGGGTTCGTCCCGGCGCTCCTGCGCCGCGTCGCCGTTGTCGACGGCGTCCCCGCCGCCGATGCCGAGACGGACACGCTCTTCGCGTCCTTGCAGCCGCAGCCGAGCGTGAACCCCGCGCCGGCGTGGCGCTTCTTGGCCGAAACGCCAGGACTCATCATGCCCTGTGATCTCGTCACTCGCTAGCTAAGCTGCGGATGCAAACTGTGCGTGCGTTGCAACCTCAAAAGAGACTTCCGGTTTCTCTCGTTGGCTCGCGCGCTGCAAGCTTATAAAGCAACGGAGATGGCAAGCGTGCACCGCAAGTGCGTGGTCCTCCCAAATTGCACACGGTTAAAATCCAGGGGAAAAAAGGGATCAATGCCGGGATTGTCTCGTTGCACAGAACACAACCCGGGCCGTCAAATGATTCCTCACCCAATATAAAACAAAAGGCAGTCAAAACAGGCTGTCGCATGCACAAGATTTTCTCTTGTTGCAAAGCTACTGATCTGTATCTGTATGACTGTATGGTTGTATAATGTATTGTCCTGTCTGCAAAATGTATACTGCTTAGTACAGTGTTTACAATTAACTACGTGTTGGATAGTACAGTAGCACCATTAACTTCTCGCGATGGGCTGATGGTCCATTGGTCCCTGGCTCCTTGCAACTGCAATTTCGGGGTATACCGTTTTGGCGTTTGGCGTAGCTGGTCAGCTCGGGGCATCGCTGATGCATTTCCGTTTGGTGTTTGCCGTGCACGGCAGGGTGATTTCCGGACGCGCGTCTTCTGTTAGGCTGTTAATTGCTGTGCATGCATTCTGCTGGAATTCTGCCGTCGTTTTCGGAAGTTTGTAGGTAGTCTCTGAGATTTGATAAGTTAAGGGCAGCGCGAAAATGTGGCGTACTTTCAAGTCCACGACTGGCCATGATTTGACTTGGTAAATGCTCTGTTCTGTTGTGCAGCAGCAGAGCCAATAACATGGTTGAGTCGAACGGCTAATAACGTTTCTTTGATTATCAACTATTTTTCGAACATCAATGGTAATTCTTAGTGAAAGTTACAGTGGCGGAGCCTGATCTGCGCGGGAGTTTCCTTCGCTGCGGTCGTTTCTGTTTGCATGAATGAACACGGGCATGTGTAGAGTAAATGGAGGAGCTTCTTAAGTTAGGCAACAAAATGTGAGAAACTAGTACAGTAGTGTTCCAAGTACATGCATAATGCGTTCCCGAAAATGACAAAGTTAAGGATCGCATGGTGAGGTCGATGGCGGGCGCGTGTGGATAATTGTACGGGGCCGAGAGCCCGAGACAGCTGGGCTCTGCTCTGAATGACGGTATTGATCGTGAGAGCCTAACTCCACACCCCACGGGCACACACGATTCAGTTTTTTGGTAGAGAAAAAGAGGTAGTTGATTCAATCCAAAACAGAAAAGGACCAGAGCCAACAGCTTCAACATGGGCTGTTTGAGTGTTTGGGACAAAAAGATCGTCACACGTACTATTATTGTTTTGGTGGATTGAAGATACGCACCCATGTTGTACATTTACGTAGCAGGAAGCTTCCAAGGCATATCAGCTAGATCGTACCAAGATTGCTAACAATATTCTTGAGGGTCCACTTGGCTGTTGGTTGATTGAAACGTTCATCGTTAGAAGTCTAAACTAGAATTGGAAGGGAAAGAAAAGAATTTCGCTAGTGCAATCTGTTTCAAGCTAATCATGCCCATCATCTCCTAAGACTGAAGGAACGCTGGTTTGTATGAGTATCACATCTCAAACTGCATTTAATTTTGGAAAAAAGTACGAATTACCGCCCAACTATCGCGGTCGTCCGAATTACCCCCCTAAACCATAAAACCGGACATTCTTCACCCCCAACTATACAAACAGGATGAATTACCCTCTCGATCCAATCCACGGTGGTTTTGGTCTACGTGGCATATACCTGCAGTCCAGTCAGCATTCTAATTATAAAAAAAAAGTTAGACCCACCTGTCATATTCAATTCCACTATTCCTCTCTCTCACTCTTCCTCTCCTGTCTCTCTTCTCTGTCTCACTCTTCCCCTCTCTCTCTCACACGCATGGCGGCAGGCGGGGGACACGAAGGGGCAGCGGCGGCGCGCACGCACGCGGACGGGGCCGGAGGCGGCGGCGAGGACGGCAGCACGCACGGCGCGGCGGCGCGCACGCATGCGGACAGGGGCGGCGGCGGCGAGGACGGCGGCACGCACGCGGCCGCAGGCTCGAGGCCTCGACCTCCCTCTGCCCCGAGCGCTCTTGTCCTCCTCGACGCGCCGCCCCATCTACGCCTTCAACGAGAGGGTGGGCGACCTCCGGCGCGTCGCCGTCGACGCGTTCGCGCGCTCAAGGCGCGGTGGGCGTGCCTCCAGAAGCGCACGGAGGTGAAGCTCCAGGACCTCCCCGTCGTGCTCGGCACCTGCTGCGTCCTCCACAACATCTGCGAGACGCGCGGCGAGGAGCTCGAGCCGTAGCTCCGGTACGAGCTCGTCAACGACGAGACCTTGCCGGAGACCCCCGTCCGCTCCGAGGCCGCCAAGCGCAACAGGGACAACATCGCCCACAACCTCCTCCACCGCGGCTTCGCCGGAACCACCTTCCTTTGAGGATCGATTCGATCACACCACCGCCGCTTCTTGATTTCCCCCTTGGTACAAAATCCCCGACAAAGTAGCAATTCTTTTAGCCGCTAGAATAGAAAGATTTTTGTGATTTGTCAATGTCCTGCAGACCTGCAGTTTGATTGCTTTGTTTTGTCGTCGGCGTGAACTCTTCATTGTTTGATTGCCGCGCGCGCGCCGCCGTGCGCGCTGCAGCGCCGTGCATGCCGCCATCCTCGCCGCCGCCGCCCCTGTCTGCATGCGTGCGCGCCGCTGCGCCGTGCGTGCTGCCGTCCTCGCCGCCGTGCGCGTCTCGGCCACGTCCCCGTCCTCGCCGCCACCTCCGGCCCCGTCCGCGTGCGTGCGCGCCGCCGCCGCCCCTTCGTGTCCCCGCCTGCCGCCGTGCGTGTGAGAGAGAGGGGAAGAGTGAGACAGAGAAGAGAGAGAGAGGAGAGGAAGAGTGAGAGAGAGGAACAGTAGAAGAGAATATGACAGATGGGTCCCACTTTTTTTTTATAATTAGAATGCTGACTGGACTGCCACGTATACGCTACGTAGACAAAAACCACCGTGGATTGGATTAAGGGGGGTAATTCATCTGGTTTGCATAGTTAGGGATGAAGAATGTCCGGTTTTGTGGTTCAGGGGAGTAATTCGGACGACCGCGATAGTTCGAGGAGGGGGGGGGGGGAATTCGTACTTTTTTTTTCTTTAATTTTCAATTTTTTCATACTTGAAGTAAACCATTCACTTCGACATACCAGTCTAAACACAAGAATTCATTTCGAGGCAAAGTTTACAAGATCCATAAGGGCCCGTGAAGTTTGGAGTTGTATGTCTCTCTCTCTCTCGGCCCGACGGCCCGCAAAACGCCTCCTCAATGCGGCAGTCCAACGGGTGAAAGACTGAAGGCCTGTTTGGTTTGGTTCCAAATTTTGCCCCAACAATTATTTGGCAACTTTAATTTTTTTTAGATAATGGAATATAACATCCCGGTTTTTACTCAAAAGAGTTACAGCCAATTATTACATAGAAGCGTTTGACGAACATAGTGTAAATCTAATTGAATAGAACACACCGCAAGGAACAATAAAGAATCTAGCCTAACATAAGGAGATTACAATTATTGAAGTCTATTTGTAAATCTCCAACCATAATTGGCAAAAAGTTGTATAACCATAGTCTCCAACTTTCGATATGCAACTTTCAGAAACTCTTCATCATCTTCACACATTTGTAGTTGTGCCCAAAACCGAAGCCAATGGGTTGCTCCGAAAATTATTTTGGCAACTTTAATAGTGTATATAAAAGTCATTTGGATTGATACCAATTTTTGCCAAGATCAATATAGTTGATAACTTGATATTACTCTTCCCTACCCAAAAAAGCCAAAACTTGTCCAAGGTTTGGCACGAACCAAACATGCCCTGAAAAACTGAGCAACGTTTGATTAGACATCTGCCCTGCTATCTTCGGGCCGTATTGAATTGAAGTCTACCAAATTCTGCCCGTACTAAAACCCAATGAAATGTTACCCTACCAAAATTTTGTTATTGCTTGGCATTTGTCTTGTGGGCACATTTTGGTTTCAGACCAGACCATTTTTGATAGTGCTAAATATTTTGGTAGGGGCTCAAATCAAAATGATACTAGCTTCAAACCAAGATGATAGCGCTTACCAGCACCACAAAACTGGAGTACTGAAGATGATGGCGTTTTGTACCTGTCCCATTCAAATCACTTGCACAGCAATTGATTGGAAAGGGGCTAAGGCTACTCTTGATTTCTGTTAGTAACAAGTATAACTAACAACCGAAAGTAATGATGGCATCGTACAAGTTGATTGGTCAGAAATGAATAGTTGAAATATACAGGCAGGAACTCGACATCAGTAGTTCAGTACTACTACCACCAAATTGGCTAATACCTTCTACAGTTCTACTCACGAAATCTAGGACAATGGTTGATGAAATGTTAAGTAAACATGCCTCTAAAAATAATGGAAACTATCAACTACACCCTATCGTGTCATTACTTCATACACAGGCTTGTCCCGCTTCACCTGATTTTTTCATGGACCTACTCAACTGAAAAACAGGGTGTCTGCACAGCCTCCCTACTCCTTTCCGAAATTTAAATCTGTCAAATAAACCTTCCACATTGTCATTACTGAATTTGCTTGCAGAATTGCTGGCTTGGCTACTTGAATCACTATCTATGGGAGAAAATTCCCTGCTGCTGTTGTCATGGTCCTTATTGTCGCGTTTCTTGGGTCGTCCAGCACTACCTTGTGCGTCATTATGACGCAATGGTTCTGCTCTAAAGAGGAAGTGATCAAGAGTAGCCCCACTAATCATTGGAAAATCATTATTTTGCTGAGTTGAACAAATGGTGGGCTTGTCCAAATGCTCTAATGCCTGAGGTTCATCTTTGTCACTTGGGGAACCAGAGCTTGATGGGAATGCACTTGATGGCATAGCTGTTTCTTCCCGTCCCTTCACAGTCTTCAAGATAAGTGTCTTGAGAAAATTCATCACTTGAACTGCATGTATCAAAGCAGTCAAGGGATCGGCCATCTATAAAAGAGATGGTATGTTACATGATTAGTCTGTGAAATAGCAAATTCTGTAGATAGCAAGAAAAAATAAATAAAGCCAAATAGATTTTGAGAATAACCTGAGTCATGTTTGGTGCAAAAACCATAGCAATGTTGCGAGCGTTCATCTTATTGTAGTTTTCATGTTCCACAACATCTGCCATCAGATTGATGGCCCAATCAAGTAGTGCTGCTTCCACTGGAGGTAGAGTACTCGCAAGGAGAGCGCATTCTTCTTCAGTGTTGCAGTGCATCACTTGTTCTGGAGTCAATGAGTCCAATACTCCACTTGGAAGTTCACGAAACCATGCCTACCATCAGCATCACACCGGTCATGGAATGGTGTAGAAGAGAACAAACAGATAAAAAGTAACAATACAAAAACTCATTTTTCTGTAGACTTCTTAAAAATATAATTTAGTCTATGTATGCGCTAGATACTCTAGAGTCTAGTCTATCTATTGATTACTGTCTGAAATCTTATATCTAAATCTCTGTACTGCATAAACAATGTCTGCATTATCATATTTGAAGGCTTTGTACATGTTCAATTTCCATAGAGAAAGATTTCCATAAGGTTGGGTTTTATGCATTTAAAACATATGGTAAATAAATCAAAGGTTAATTAAAAGCACAAGAAATAATTGTCACCACACCTTTATGAGGCCCGTCAGACAGTGCATGTCAACACCATCCGGAACAACACCCATGTTTAGTTGCTCCCTGACATGTAGTTCCTGACTATTGTCTGCATTTATTCTGAAGATTCCTTCAGCCTGGGAAAACAAGAAGCAGAATTTCAGAACTTTTTTCCATTTTTTGCTGAGTAGTGTAAATGCTAGTATTATTAAGGTTCCAAAATTTGTTGGCCATTTGGCCTTACCTGAAGCCCCCCAAGTTGATATAACTTCTTTTGCATGGTCAATAGTATTGTTGGCACACTGTTTCCTCTGTTATCGTATGAGCATTGCATGGACGTTGGTGAAACTCCAAATACACTCACACTGTGTAAGGAAATAGATTAAACATAAACTAAGTTAGGGTCTGAGCTTTGCTAGAAATTCACTAATAAAGGTAGGCTGCAAAGTTCTTTTAAGGAAAAGAACTTATAACAATTGAACTTAAGAAACAGAAATGATCCTTAGTTCCCCTCTACAACTGAAAGGTTATGTATCATACATACAACAATACCAGGATAGGAATCAGTAAGGGGTAACAACTAACTACAAAAGATGAAACATATGGAGCGCCCTTGCCTGTTCGGAAAAAAGACTTTGGTGCCCCAACGGATGGTTGAGAGTAAGATAGTAAAATTAAAACAGTGATAGATGGGACAAGCAGTATTCTAAATAGTGCTAAAATTAATTATATTTTGGCATAAATTTCAAATGCTAAAAGTGCTTATATTTTGGGACTGAGGAATATATCACAACATCCCAATGCCTGACAAGGACAAAGAGAGTCATCTCCACAAAAGGAATGTGCTTTACAAGATTCCCCAGTAGTCGAACTTGGCAGTGCCATCCTTGGAAATGGCAACAGTTCTGGCTTCCTGTAAGAGTTTGCAAACGTAACAGTCCTATTGGCTCGTCGCTCGTGGGTAACCAATTCCGAATCGGTAATAAGGGCTCGGCGAGGCAACTATTCTGTGTGCACTTTTGCTTAGTTACGCGGCAATGTGGCACTATATTTAGCATCATGCCATGAACTTAATTCGGAAACGAACAGCAGTGCAGGGTGAAAATGGGCTTAATCCACACAGGTAGTAGCACCGCAGATGCTGATCTCCGGAGCGGAACTCCAATTCCAGAGCCCCCGCCTCAAATCCACGGAGCATGGAGAAGGCGAAGCAAGGCAATGGCGCGGCACTGACCTGGCGCTAGGCGCGGGGCGGGGCACGTCGGGCTCGAGGTCGGCGGGGAGGCCGAGGAACCCCACGAAGCGGTCGAAGGTGACGTGCGAGACGTGCCGCACGTCGGTGGGCCGGCCAATCTGCATCCCCGCAGCAGCCGCCGCCGCCGCCGCGGCCCCTTCGTCCTCCGCGGCGCGCACGCTGCTGCACAGCAGCAGCGACCTCCGCAGCGCCGCCGCCACCGTCTCCACGACGGACACCCCTCCTCCTCCTCCTCCCCTCGCCGCCGGCAGCATCAGCGGCGATGACACCGGCACCTCGCCCTCCATCTCCTCCTCCTCCCCTTCGTACTCCTCTTCCTCCTCCTCCTCCTCCTCCTCCTCCACCTCCTCGTCCTCGTCGTCCTCCTCTTCCTCCTCGTCGGAGTCGGGGCGGGAGAAGGGGATCTGGTGGCCGAAGCGGATCTGGGACGGCGCCATGGAAGGAGTATGTATCTAGGATGCCAACTTCCTCGCGAGAAGCAAAGACCGGAGAGAGGGAGGAAGGAAAGAATAGGCGGCGGTCTCGGTGGTGGGAGAGAAGTGGGTTTGGAGGCGTGACGAGAGGTGGCTTAAGCTTAAGCCCGCTTCGCTGCCTCGCTGGTTTGCTTGACTGCCTCTTTAAACTTCGCTGTCTTCGGCTCTAAAAAAACAAGCCCACCGTTTAATCCCCATCTGCCGGCGTCCTAATCATGCGATCGATCATTTTTGGGCCCTCTCGTCTGCCTTAGGTGACCAATCGAAGATACATTTGAAAAAAAAAACAGAGTAATGGAATAAACAACAGAAGCCACTGTAGTAAGATGGAGAAGAAAATGAACTCTTTTTTTTCATGAAATGGTGCAGTTGTTACAGCCAATGGCAGGTGTGAATACATTCCGTAATGCTCGTACCATCGGGGTGACAATAATTGCACGGCTTATGATTAGATGCAAACCAGTTTTTCAATCAATCGGATGATGGTGCTCGTCGAATTTTCGTGAGGAACACTGCACATCGTCCTGGAAGGTCGGACTTGCAGATTAGTACATGTCGATATTTTTCTGTTCTTGCAAGTCAATAATACACGTTGATTCTTGGTGCCGTGATGAACTACCGGTTAAAAGTGTATTGGTTAACCAGCTTTTTAAATCCGTTGGTCCGTAGACGCCAAACGGACAGCCCCTTAAACTTTTGACTTGAGTGTGTGCATTAGCCATTGTACATGTACGTACAGGCGTACACTCGCGCGTGAAGCTGTCTTGAGCTCATACTCAAACCATCAAATTTGATGTAGCAAATCTTCCTTTACTTGACAAATGTTTCCTGAGAGTCTGAAACTAGTACTAATACTACTTCAAAGATCGTCAGGAATGAGCTCCAGACAAATTTCCGAACCTGATAAGCATGGATACTGATTTGCTGTTGGACCCGTGCAGCGAGCTTCCAATCCCTGGTCTGTTCTCTTGATCAAGCAAGCAATTTCTTTATCTAAAGAAAGAAACCAAATTCTGTCTGTTTATTCCTAGTTATTACTAGCATTCAGGTACGGGCATTCACACCAGTAGCTGGTTTCCCCGGAACAAACCTGCTCTCGGTTTTTCATTCGTCTAATCTTTACATCAGATGTACCTCTCATCACCCACATGCTTGTACTCGCTCATGTTTCTACTTTGGCACTTTGCCATGGAATTATTGGGTGTCAATTGGTGTCCGTGACCGTGAGGATGTGACCACCCGCGAGGACGAGATCCTTGCGCTTAGAGCCGGTACAATAAAATAACTCAACAGGCTTCAAAAAGTTACATATCATCGTATTTCTACGTGGAGGAAAGATAAACCAGAAAAAGGAAGGGAACGGACGACTAATCTAGCGCCGACGATAGCACGGCTCCATATGCGCATGCAACTAGTACTAGCGATTAAAAATACATTTTTTGGGCCCCACACCACCCCATCCGATCCCGTGTGGTTTGCTCTCCTTCTCCTTCCGCCCAAGTAGTATTTCCCATTGCCGAGCAGTGCAACTGCGCAACACAGGTTCAGATCAAGCACGCGGAATCGCTCTCCTCTTCCTCCTCCATATCTTCTCCGATGCAGCGACGCTTCTTCCTAGCATCGCCGTCGGTGCCACCGTTCGCCGCGGCGTGCAGATGAAGGCCATCTGAAAGCGTCGGCACTCTCTTCCGTTCATTAAAAGACTGATCCCAGTTTCCAGCCTCCGGGCGACACCACTGTGTGCTAGATCTGCGCCGGTCGCTTGATCGACGCCCACCGCATGAAGCTGGCGTTGTCTCCATGCTAAGACCCTGTTTCTTTCAACTTGAGATTATTATAATCCAGATTATGAGAGTAAACTGAAAGAAACAGACAACTTATTGAAGTAGCTTATTATAATCTGGAACCCAGCTTATTATAATCTGATAAGCTCATTTAGGTGAGCTTTTTCCAAATTATTGGGTAAAAAATTACCCATCATGCCACCCCACTTCCTCTTTAGACTTGCAAACCCAATAATCTAGGAAATAAACAACTAACCGCTTATTTTACTACAGATTATAACAATCTAGCTTATAGTAATCTGACTCAATAATCTAGATTATAATAATCCTAAGCTGAAAGAAACAGAGCCTAAATCTTGCTGTCTTGTGGGTGATTTCGTTGATTAAAACAAACAATCGGCTAGGGAGTGGTTCAGTAGTTCTGATGTCCTCCGTACCAGTGGATTTGGTTTTCTTTTCTTGGTTTTTTCTCTATTTCTGCCTGATCTCAGATGTATGCGTATCTTGTTTACAAAAAGCGGATTTTGTTTCCGTGTATTTTTTCGCCGCTGAGTGTATTCTTTTTTACCTCGCTCCATCTGATTTTCGATAGCTTCCATTCAATTCTATTCATGTAGACATAAGAACTCATGTTTCAGAACATGAATGGCCACAAACATGAAGTTCACTTTTGATCATACACTGTAAGTACTCATAAAGTATGTGCATGTATAATTAAATATTTCTTTCATGAGATGTAGTAAGCACAATAGCTAGTCTATTGTATTAGTTAACTGTAATATTAGCTATAAAATGATATGGAGATAATGGAGCCAGCAGCAGACTATACTATTGACCTTGCTCTTAAAGCACACTACTACTAGAATCTACGGAGTATATATAAGATCCAGACATTTTTCTGTCCTTTCCGTGGGACACACTTGATGTTCTTTTTCATGTCTTGTGGCCTGAGGTCCTCTTGATTGGATAACGGACACATTGCTTTAGTCAAAAGACTTTATTCTGAAACCTGTAGACATGATGAGTACTAGTATATATCTAAACCTGGTTCGTTAGTGCATGCAAATGTCATTATCGAATTTTGGTATGCTTGCTTCAAAAATAGATTTTGGAGCATGGATGCAATGGACCATAATCATCCAGCATCGCTCGTCAGTCATCACAGATTCGCAGTTCACTGGAAAAAGTGCACCGGAGGTCCCTGAACTTGTCACCGAGATCCGAAAACGTCCTCAAACCGCAAAACCAGATACATGAGGTCCCTCAACTATAGAAAACCGATCACCCGAGATCCTTCGGTGGTTTTAACTCTGGTTTTGGTCTATGTGGCAGCTGAGTCACCATGGACTCACCTGTCAGCATGCCACGTCGTCACTCCCTCTCTCTCTTTCCCTTCCTCTCCCTTTCTCCTCTTTCTCTCTCTTCACTTTTCTCCAGCGGGCATGGGCGGCGGGGGCGGCCGCAGCGGCGACGCTCTGGGAGCAGCGGGGAAGGTGGAAGGGGAGGAGGGGTCGACCCGGAGGTGCTGCGGTCGCTGCTGGTCACGGTGTACAGCCACAGCATGGCGGCGGCGGCGGCGGCGGTGAAGGAGGAGGACGACAGCATCGAGTGCGCGGTGTGCCTCGCGGAGCTCGAGGAGGGCGACGAGGCCAGGTTCCTCCCCCGGTGCGGCCACGGCTTCCACGCCGAGTGCGTCGACATGTGGCTCGGTTCCCACTCCACCTGCCCGCGCTGCCGCCTCACCGTCATCGTGTCGTCGCCGCCTCTTCTTTCTCCCGTCCCGCCGACGCCGCCGTGATGCGCGACGACGACGTACGGGCCCGCCCGCCATGGCCGCGCTCACCTCCCAGACGTGCCCGTACTTTTCGTGGCAGGTGACGGCCGCATCGAGGGCGACGCCGCTGCTGAGCATCACGGCGATGCCGACGGGGGAGTAGGGCCGGCACGGAGTGGTGGTGCTTGCCGGCTACTCCTAGCCACTCATGTCTCCAACCCTTCCCCAAATCGCTCCACTGAAAGTGGCTCCGCGAAGGAAGGCCGACGCGGCCGCGCTCGCCGCCGCCACCACCACCGCTGGGACCTACTCTCCGGTTGCTGCCGCCGGGGAAAAGCGTCGGGAGAGGAAGGAGGAGCTGCGGCGCCACCTCGCCGAGGACGCCGACTGGCCCCGCGCCGATGGCTGCTCCTTCCACGAGGCTGCCGGGGCGAGGCGGGAGAGGAGGAGGCGGCAGGCGACGAGGCGGCGGCGGCGGCTGCGAGGCGGGAGAAGGCGAGGGCGGCGGCGAGGCTACGGTCCTCGAGGTACTTGACGATGTCAGCGAGCCACTGGGAGGCGATGCCGCAGTTGTCGGAGAGGAAGTGGAGCGCCTCCTTGAAGCGGGACATCACGGCGAGGTATCCGGGGAGGTCGTCGGCGACGGCGGAGGCCGCGAGGAGCGGCGGCACAGCCCGCCGCGAGGAGCGGCGGCTCGAGGCTGTGCACGGCGGCGGCCGGCCTCACGGCGCGGTCGACGTACTCCCCGACGCCCTCGAGCGCGTCCCGCGGGGCGCGGATCGGGCGCACCGCCGCCTCCTTCGCCGGGAGCCTCGCCTGGATCTCCCTAAGTGGGAGGTGGACAACGAGTCGCTTCCGCGCCCGCGCCGCGGCGGTGCCCGACGCCGCGGCGCCCGCCCGCGCGGGGCCGCTTCGCCGCCGGCGGCGACGCAGCTTCATTGACGCCATTCGCGACCGGCCGCCGCCCTCGCTTTCTCCCGCGTCGCAGCCGCCGCCGCCGCCTTGTCGCCCGCCGCCTACTCTCTCGCCTCTCCCCGGCATCGTCTGCCTCAGCCGCCGGCCGGCTTGCCGCCTCGTCGCCCCAGCCGCCGCCCCAGAAGAGAAGAGAAGAGAAGAGAAGAGTGAGAGAGAGAGGAGGGAGAGAATAGGGAAAGAGAGAGGCTGATGTGGATTGTCTGACATGTGGGGCCCACGTGGTTCCCACGCTGACTCAGCTGCCACGTCGGACAAAACCGGTGTCAAAACCACCGAGGGAACGGTTTTGTTAGTTGAGGGATGCCGGTATCTGGTTTTGCGATTGGGGGACGATTTTGTATCTCGATGACAAGTTGAGGGACCTTGGGTGTACTTTTTCCCAGTTCACTTGACAGCTCGCAAGGATCCATATGACAAGAAGGCCACGTTTTGCCATGGCGGGTTCATCTCGTTTGGAGATGGGCCTCTGGGCCTCATAGGCCGATACCCGATAGGCCGTAGCATCTCCGGGCTGTGAATTATTCGGCCCATACCATGCGATACGGCAATGCACACTGCACGTTTGTTCCTTCCACGAACCGATCCCCTCTTCCTGGCAAGTCGCAACGCCGCCGAACGGCACGAAGCTCTCCAATGCCGCCGCTGCCCCGCCCACCGCCGACACCGACCTCGGCCGCACCAGCTCCGTGCCCTCGCCAGATCGCCGCCGTCGTGCTGAACCACCCTTCGTCCGCCCTCACGCCGGCCTCGACGCGCTCCCTCTCGGCGTCCCTCCTCGCCGTCGCGCCGTCGCTCCCGACCCCCGTGGCCGACTCCGTCCTCAAGCTCCTCTGGCACCACGCGCCGCGCGCGCTCCTCTTCTTCCACTCGCTCCTCCACCTCCCGCCGCGCGCGCACGCCGTGGGTCCCTCCACGCTCGACCTCGCGCTCGACCTCTCCGCGCGCCTCCGCCGCCCGCGCCAGCTCACCAACTCCATCCTCGGCCTCTTCCCGCGCCACCGCCTCGCCTTCACCCCGCGCACCTTCCCCATCCTCTTCGAGCGCCTCGCCGTGTCGCAGCGCCGCCCCGACCTCGCCGTCCGCCTCTTCCTCTCGCTCCACCGCTCCCACCGCGTCGCGCAGGACCTCCCCCTGTTCAACTCCCTCCTCGACGCTCTGTCCAAGTCGCGCCACGCCGGCAAGGCCGCCTCCCTCGTCCGCGCTCTTGAGCAGCGCTTCACCCCCGACGTGGTGACGTACAACACGCTCGCCGACGGATGGTGCCGCGTCAAGGACACCTCCCGCGCGCTCGACGTGCTGCGGCTGATGGTCGAGTCCGGTATTGCCCCCACGAAGACCACCTATAACATCATCCTTAAAGGCTTCTTCCGTGCTGGACAGCTACGGCACGCATGGGACTTCTTCCTCCAGATGAAGAAGAGGGGGAGTAAAGACGAGAGCTGTAAGCCCGACGTCGTCTCGTACACTACCATGGTTCATGGGCTGGGTGTTGCCGGGCAGCTGGAGAAAGCTCGCAAGGTGTTTGATGAAATGGCTAAAGAAGGGTGTGCTCCATCGGTTGCTACCTACAATGCGCTTATTCAGGTGATCTGCAAGAAGGGTAATGTGGAGGATGCAGTAACGGTGTTTGATGGTATGCGTGTTAAGGGCTATGTCCCTAACGTGGTTACATACACTGTGTTGATCCGAGGCCTCTGCCATGCTGGGAAGATTGACCGAGGTTTGAAGCTGTTGGAGAGGATGAAGAATGGAGGCTGCGAACCCATCGTTCAGACATACAATGTTCTTATAAGGTATTTATTTGAGGAAGGGGAGATGGAAAAGGGTTTGGATTTGTTTGAGAAGATGAGTAAAGGAGAGGAGTGCCTGCCCAACCAAGACACATACAACATCATAATAAGTGCTATGTTTATGCGCAAGAGGGCTGAGGACATGGTACTGGCTGCAAGGATGGTGGAAGAAATGGTGGATAGAGGTTATCTGCCTAGAAGGTTCATGTTCAACCGTGTGTTGAACGGGTTGATGCTGACAGGGAATCAGGAGCTTTCACGGAAACTCTTGAGAATGCAAGAGAAATATAGACGTTTGCAACGAGAAATAAGACTGTAATTGACATTTGATGTTCTCGAAACATTTGAGATTATGTTCATCCTGAGGCTTAGTTACAGAAGTGAATTCTTGCCTTCAGAGCACCATATCAGTTTTAAAAGTACTCATAGGTGGTCCTATGATGAGTCCAACTGCAAATATCACTTGATTATTGGTATGTATTCTGAGTCTGAACATGAAATTCACTCAATTGTTTGAGTATAACAGTTAGTGTTCTTGGTTTTATCTTTTGTTTCAGTCTTTGAGCGGGCTCCTACAGAGATTTTTTCTTTATCTCTACTAGTGCAATTGCAGTTTGGAATGATAGGTTCCAAAGCTGTGTACCAAATGATTTATGGTGACTGGTAAGGACCTTCAAGCATGTTTTTGAGATGCAAACTTGTTATCTAAAAAGAACTGCCACTGTCAGGTTCTGATCATTTGTTGTCAACTTTCTTTGATGGTATTCTTGCAGCATCTGCTGGAATTATAGTTGGCCATAAGGCCCGAGGCCCGAAGGCCCGGCCCACGGCACGCCTTTTTGGCCCGGCCCAAGCACGGCACGGCCCGACTTGGGTCGGGCCCGTGCCGGCCCGGCCCGACCGTCGGGCCGTGCCTGGGCCTCCTCACCAGCACGCTGGGCTGGCCCGGCACGGTCGGGCTGGCCTGGCACGATGGGCTGGCAGGCCAGACCCGATACACAAAGTATAGGGACTAAAAATAGACATATAAATGTCAATGTCTAAAGAATAGGGACCTTAAATAGACTTATTTTAGCTATTTATATACCACATCACAAAGAAGAGGGAGGTAAAATAGACTTTTTTTAGCTATACAATGTCATAGCCCAATAGGAGGGAGAAAATTTAGACTTATTCTGAGGAAAAGCACGATGGCCCATCGTGCCTTCGGGCCGGCCCGGCACGGCCCGAGGCGTGTTGGGCCGTGCCTGGGCTGTGAGTGCGGCACGTGGGCTGGCACGGCACGGCCCGGTGCGTCGGTCGGGCCGTGCCGGCCCGACAAGCCTCGGCCCAGGCACGGCCGGGCCTGGGCCGTGCCGTGCCGGGCGGCCCACATGGCCATCTATAGCTGGAATTCAGATAGAAGAGATCAATAGATTAGCAAACAATTGCAAGATGTGTTTTCACCCTGGAGGAGAAAACATAAAACATACTTTTTTTAAAAACATTACTGCATAATTTCACATGAGAATGCTTGGAAGCCATGCCCTCTTATGCACCAATGCCTGAACATTAGAAGCATTGATGTCCTGCGGATGAGAAAAGGTTCAATGCTTGAAACCTCAAGTATGCTAAATCAGGAAAGTACTGGCCACAGTGTCAAGAAAATCTCAATCTACCGCCACTGCACCATGCCTGGCCATTAGCCTGAAGGTCGGTGTATTTGGAGTGCGAGTATTGCAAGGCCACAGAGCTCCAGTAGTCATTGATTTGGCCAAGTCAATATTGATATTCCCAGGAGCCGATCATGTTGATGCGCTGCTAAAGAAGACAGATAGGGCATCTGAGCATCTCTACATCTGCACAGGTAGAGGGACGATAAAAGAAATCCAACAATCTGCAAAGTTTGCAACTGCAAATGATCAAACTGGCTAGGTATGCTGATCTTAGCCTAATGTGGTGGGATTTTTTTTATTTTTTAATTTTATTAATAGACCATTCCAAAAATATTGCGTTGTTTAGCCACGCCAACCATGGTGGCGTGGCCAAAAGGTTCAGATTTGGAAATACTTTTTGGAATGGTCTATTCATAAAATTTAAAAATAAAAGTCTAAAAAATAATTAAAAAAATCATGTGCTAGTGAGTTGTTAGTTTCCAATAATAGGGTATAGATGGCAAACCCAATTCCTCAAACAAAGCAAAAAGAAAAAGAAAAGATGTCCATCATTATATTATGGAGGTTGCATATTGGCATATGTATCTTGCTTTTTGCTAGTAGAGACTGTTGGTTTTAATGACTGAGTTTTTTTTTTTGGTGTGTGTGTTGGGGGGGGGGGGGGGTGATCAATAACTGCTTTTTCCTGTGATTTTGTGGTGTACTGAAGTCGTCTCTTTTCTTGGTATGGTTTTCTTTGTATAAGGAGCTGAGTGTTGGTTTTTGTTAAGCATATCATTGGTTTTGATTAAAAGAAACATGTGATTGGTTGCAAACGGCCGATGGGAACACAAATGCTGCCATGGACATCTGCATGTTCATTCTTATGTTTTGCAGGTTATTTGGTTGCTGGGTAGCAAATGGGTAACTGGTCACTGCTGGCACGAAGCATTGTGCTGCCAATATTAAGGAAATAACGAGTGCACCTGCTGTTAATTTTTCGTTCATAGATTTTGGTGTCAAAGTTAGGCTTATAATTCCTCCGTTTCACAATGTAAGACTTTCTAGCATTGTCTATATTCATATAGATGTTAATTAATCTAGACATATATATGTGTCTAGATTCATTAACTTCTAAATTAATATGAGTAACGCTAAAAAGTTTTACAATCTGAAACGGAGGGAGTATAATATAATTGTGTGCTCCAGTTGTTCTGCTTGGTAGTTTCTTTCTGGAGTTTGCGAGATAGCTCATATTCTGTAGTTTACGAAAACCACGCTTCTCTTTGATTTCTGACTTAAGAAATATTGGGGGCAGTCTTAGAATGTACTTATCAATCAGCAATTTCCCTTCAAGCATGAGAGTTTCAGTATCATAATATGATAATATGGCATTCATGCGTCATGCGTGGTGGCCCTTATATTTTTAATTTTGCTTCTTTTTTTTCCCACGCAGAATTGGCCTGAAGGCCTGAACATAACGTGCTACCTGTGGTTGACTGCTTGTACAGGGCTACTGTTGAACAACATGGTTGGTCTGCAGGTTGAACTTTACATGTTGCAGAGCGGAGTTCTGTACAACCAAGCAAGATGCATGGGTCGTGGATGCATCATTGCATTCATTGACACGGGAACTAAAATCAACTTCCTGTTGGTGTTATTGCTCACCGTTCAACAGTGTAAAGGTGGACAAACCGTTCTCATCGTCAACAGACAACAGGGTATGTTTTGCCTTCACATTGGAAGATATTTTTTTGGTACGTTTTGGAGTTTTGGTGAAAACAAAGAAGTAGTAAAATACTCCTACATGTTACTACATCCGTTTCAGGTTACAAGACTTTTTAGCATTGCCTACATTCATATAGATGTTAATGAATCCAGACATGTGTAGATTCATTAATATATATATAAATATGGATAATACTAGAAAGTCTTATAATATGAAACGGGAAGTATTTAACAGAAGGAACATATCGTGCATAAGAACACATTCAGCCCTGTCATTATACTTCGACGGCGTTATACACCATTTTGCCCCAAAACAAAGGTGATGAAGAAAATGGCCCACAGTTTAGTCCACTTGCCTTTTCGCCAATGCTCCAAAATCTCCAATGTGGCAACAGTGAAGGCTATGAGGCATACTGGACATCAGTTAGGTTACCTGATGATTGTCCACCGTAACATGAACATACCGAGTCAGCAGTTTGCCCTGACATGAACGTGCCGCATAATCCGACCATCAGCGGCCCCGGCGATTGGCAGGTCAAAGGAGCTTTGACGCGTAGCCTGCAGCGGTCAATACTATGCGACTGTGCGATAACAAGATCTGCATGCTAGGACTAGGTATCTGGTAGGGGCAAGCAACAGCAACCGCCATATGTAGTGTAATCTTAAGGTGGGCTCTATGAATTGTGAATCATTGTTAGGGTATCACCAATGTATATTGCAAAGTGATCCATATAGATGTGACCCACGTAAATAGTTTTTACCTATAACAATCTCCACAATGTATATGTATACAAGGTATCATTAGGAGAAGAGAGAGGAGTAGAGATAGATAATATAATTTATTCCATATGGGTAGTCCATATGCATATGGATACCTTTTGTTATTTTTTCTATATGGACTAGTTGCACAATGGTAATAGATGGCTGAATGGAATATTCTATTGCTTATGGACTACTTTTGCACCACATTGTGGATGTCCTTAAAGCCAATACCCACAATGCTATGGTTAGAATTTAGTCACAAGATGAACCCACATAGAATGGAAAAATAATTGTTTCATCTCTTGATCATGAAGTGAATGAGAGAGAAAATATTTTCTTTTTGCTTGTGGTAGACCTTAAATATAAGGTGCACTCTAAGCTAATGCTACTTTACACAATGTATATGGCTCACTTTACAAGTGTAATCATTGCCTTAAGGTCACTTTTTTCATACATTGTGGTTGCCCTAACACTTAACAGCTACTACTAGTAGTGGTACAAGTATATTCGGACACGATCCAACTGAGATCCAGAGACCCTTAGAGCAAGTTTAATAGTATAGCCCATTACTAGCTTCAATTCATCTATAGTCGTTCTAATAGCCAATTCATACAATAGTTGCTTACTATACTACTCCCTCTGTCCCAGAATATAGAGAGTTTTCGAGTTGGGCACGACTATTAAAAAGGTAGATATAATTAAGGAAAAAGTACGAATTACCCCCCTGAACTATCGCGGTCGTCTGAATTACCCCCCTGAACCCAAACACCGGACATTGCTCACCCTGAACTTTTAATACTGGACGAATTACCCCCCTCGACCCAATCCAGAGCGGTTTTGTCCTATGTGGCGTACGCGTGGCAATCCGGTCAGCATTTTTTTTAAAAAAATTGTGGGACCCATATGTCATACATACCCTTCCCCTCTTCCTCTCTCTCTCTTCACTCATTCTCTCTCTCTCGGGGTGCGCATGAGCGGCAGCACGAGCGGCGGTGGGCGGCGCGCTGCGAGGCGGGGGCGGGCGGCAGCGCGAGGCGAGCGCGGCGTCGCCGGAGGCGGCGGCCCGTGGCTCGCGGTTTGCTCCCCCCTCGCCGCAGCCGCTCCTCCCCTTCCTTTCCCCTTCTTCCTCCAGGTCCAGCGGTGGTGGCGGCAGAGGGGCGACGATGGAGGCAACGAGCGCGGGCAGTGGCGAGGCGAGGCGAGGCGGCGGCGGCGACGGCGAGGTGAGGTGGTGGCGGCGGCGAGGCGAGGCGGCGGCGGAGGAGGCGAGGCGGCGGAGAAGGGACGAGGCGAGGTAGGCTTTCTCCGGGACAAGCTCGCTGGGGTCCAATGGCGAGGTGAGGACCGGGGTGGCGGGCCTCGGGTCGTCCTATTCCTCTCTCTCACGCGGCGCGCATGGGCGGTAGCGCGAGCGGCGGCGGCGGGCGGGTGGTGGGCGGAGGCGTGAGGCGAGGCGGGGGCGGGGCGGTGGAAGGCGGCATGCAAGGGTGGGCAGTGGGCGGCAGCGCGAGGCGAGCACGGCGACGGTGGCGTCGAGGCTGAAGCCCAAGAGGTGGTCGGCCACGACACAGGTGACCGGTGGCACGGCGTCGTCGTCGTCATCGCCGGCGGCACGGTTGTTGAGGTCGGCGAGCAGCTTCCTGAAGTAGGGGAGGCAGGTAGTCATGGTGGCGTCGGCGTCGGACTTCGGTAGGCCGTCCGGGATGGTGGCGAAGAGGAACCTCGGGATTCTGGCCATGGCGGCGGCGGCGCCGCCGCGGGAGTGGACGAGGCGGCGGTGGTTGTACTCGCCGTCGCCGCATGTAGCCGTCCGCCGTCCAGCGCCCGCCCCCTCGTCTCGCGCCGCCGCCTCGTCTCTCACCGCTGCCCACCGCCTTGCCTCGCACGCCGCCGTCCGCCCGTCCGCCGCTCCCTCGTCTCGTGCCGCCGCCATCCACCGACGCCTCCGCCGCTGCATGCAGCCATCCGCCGTCCAGCGCCCGCCCACTCGTCTCGCGCCACCGCCTGCCCACCGCCCGGCCCCGCGCGCTGCCGTCCGCCCGTCCGCCGCTCCCTCGTCTCGCGCCGCCGCTATCCACCGGGAGGCCCCCGAGGTCGACGCGGCCGCGGCGCGCAGCCTCCCGGCGGCTGCCGCCTCGCCTCACCTCGCCGCTGCCTCCGCCGTCGCCGTTTGAACACTGAAGGAGAAGAGAGAAAGAGAGTGAGGGATAGAAGAGAGAGAAGAGAGAGAAAAACTGACAGGTGGGGCCCACCTATTTTTTAATAAATAAGTTGCTGACTGGACTGCCACGCGTACGCCACGTAGACCAAAACCACCACGGATTGGGTCGAGGGGGGGTAATTCGTCCTGTTTACATAGTTGGGGGTGAAGAATGTCCGGTTTTGTAGTTCAGGGGGGTAATTCGGACGACTGCGTTAGTTCGAGGGGGTAATTCGTACTTTTTCCTATAATTAAATAGAAAGGGGTTGTGATTGGTTGAGAAGTGGAGGTAGGTAAGAAAAGTGAATGGTAAAGGGTTGTGATTGGTTGTGAAATGAATGTTGGTTGAGAGGTTGTTATATTTTGAGACAAATCCTAAGTGCTAAAAGTTGTTATATTTTGGGACGGATGGAGTATTAATATATGGTCCCACCTGTCATACACACATTACGTCTTGGAGTCCGTGCTGCAGCTGGCTACAGATCTGTAGCCTGCTGCTCTTCTCTCTCATCTTTTATCTCATTAAATTATGTTTATAGCTGGCTAATAGTCTGCTATTGTACCTGCTCTTTAGACCCAAGATTCAGCATCGCACCCTCTCGGTCACCAGAATTTCCAATTAGCTCGTCGATATCTTGTCGATGCCTTCTCTCCTTGTAGCCGCCTTGTATTCCAGAAGTATACTGAATCCGTCCATTAGGCCTGATCTAGCCATCCTTGTTATCATCGACATTGCTAAGAGCAAGTATAATAGTAGGCTATAAGCCAGCTAAATGCTGAGTTGGAGAAAAGAAGAGAAGAGAGAGAGGAGAAGCGGGCTGTAAACTAACAGCCGGCTTGGATATAAGAACCAAGAAACTCTGTGAGAGAGACAAGTGGGCCCTGTATTAATTATGAAGAGCTAACTATTATATGGATAGGCTGAGAGAAGGCTATAAAGAACCTTATAGCCAGCAGGTCGGCTGTATTATTAGCCTTGCTATAAGGAACCACTATCTTCCCTTCTTAGCGTAGCCACCTTTTATCAATTGGAGAGCTTTAGATCTAGCCATCAGGCCAGATTCATATACCTTGGATGCCACTGGCACCGCCATCGTCTTAGGTTACTGCCATCGAGCCATAGTTGGCCACTCGGGTACCGCTGTCACCTATAACTCCCGCTATCTCCATTCACGCCCCATCTTTCGCCTATGCCAAGATGTTCGTCGTGATGTCCTTAGCATGTTCAGGTTGTGCATGGCCTATCGAATATGTGCCTCCCCTCCAACTGCCTCTCCATACTTCTCCGCGAGGCATCACTACCACCTATCTAAGCACCCTTTCTCGCAACCTCATTAGTGGCCTCTTCATGTGTCTATTTGCCGGCATTAGCCAACTCTTCTGCATTAGAGAAACCGCACGCACGCCACCGCGGGGTGCCTTCTCCATCGCCTTCACCAAATCCGGTGCGACGGGTGTGGGGGGGGGGGGGGGGGGGGTTGGGGGGTCGTGCCAGTCGCCCTAACCGGACTGCCGTGCCATTGAGCGAGCGAACAATACCCCCAAACGATATGCCACACGACTATGCTTCTAGACGTCGATTCCCACAATGCCACACCACCATGCTCCTAGCCGGCGAGCTCCTATCAACATGCTAGATCCAGGCGACTTCCGAAGAAAAGAGCATCAGATCCACAGGAGCTCCGTCATCACCGTGTTAAGCCTTGGATGGATGAGAAAGGGACCCGCCACGCCACCGTCCTTGCACCCACGCGGAACTCCGGCGGTATGCTCGGGCGGCAGAGAGGTCGAGGAGGGGTCGATGAGTTCGGGGTAAAACAACTGCACGATATCCCTATGATCTGCCTGCCAACCGTTCTCTGGAGTAGAATGTTCACATGGTTTGGAAGGTGAAAAAAAATGTAGAGAAAACGCCTGATCAATCAGCGTTGCATTGCAGTTTGCAAATCAAAGCCGGCATTGTCGCGATAGGCGTCATGCTCAGCGAAGTGGAGTACAACGATGCACCCGATCACCGTTTCCATGCGTCAAGTGAGCAGCACAGCAGCAGCAGCAGCGTTGCCTGCGACCCAGCGAGTCATGCAGTGCGAGTCGGGACTTGTCGCTGGGCCACTGCACCACGCCCAGACAGAGAGCAGCATCCAATGCCTCACTCTGCCCGAGCCACTGACTGACAAGGTCAGTGCATGCAGGCTGCAGCTGCTGCAGAGCGCTCTCTTTCTCTCTCCCCCCGCGCGGCCCCAGGACACGCCCCTCGCCGGGGCCCCCCCGTCGCCCATGCCACCACCACCGCGGCCACCGCCACCGAGGCAGGCGCGCTCCCCACAACCCAACCAAAGAAAATTATCGCCGCACCTGCCGCCTGCGTCGTGTGTCGCCGGCCATCACGCGACGCACGCACGCACGCACGTCTACAGGCGACAACCGCTCAAACTCAACAAGTACTCTACCTCTACTCCAACTACAAGCATCGCGTGCCATCGAACACGGTGAGAATTGTTTTGGCTTCAAAAGTTGCGAGGAAAAAAAGAGTTACAGGACATGACATAATCCCTGCGGATTTGGGTTTTCCCATGCGCCGAGACAAACAAACAAACGGGCGCCGGTCTGGTCACTGGTCAGGTGGCGCGCGCGGTGCCGTGGGCGAGGAGGACGCTGGTGGGGGAGAAGACGATGCCACCGCCGCCGCCGTTGTTCGCCGGGGTGGCGGCCGCGGAGGCTTCCACAGGCTTTCTTGAACGGCCGCGTCCGCGGTGGACGTGCCGCTCGCAGTACTTGTGCCCCGGCACCACGTCGCGCGAGCACCGCCACTTCTTGCCGTCCGTGCGCCTGCACCGCCCTGGGTCCGGCTCCATGCTGCTCCGGTAGTCGAAGCACAGGTTCCCCAACCCCATCACTGCCACTCAAATGTCAAAAACGGCGTCCACATTATCGAATGATCGGAAAGCTCGACACCAATCAGGCCAAACGCAATGAGAAGAAAAAGAAAAATATCTTGTTGGCACGTACGGGAAGGGAAGCGGTGCGGGCCGAAGGAGGAGGACGCGACGCTCTTCCAGATGGGGAGCACGAGGTGCACCGGCACGGGCGCGCCCGCGGCGAAGTAGCGGTAGATGAGCACCTGGTGCTCCAGCTCCTGCTGCTGCATGAACGTCAGCGCCGTCGCCTTGTGCGCCGCCGCCGCCGACGCTTCCACGTCACGCTCGCCGCGGCTGTCGCCGCCGAGTCCAAGCCCCAGCCCAAGACCCACCGGCGGCGGGGGTGCTGCCATGGTCACCACTCCTACGAAAACACACACGCCAGACTTATCAACACGACTTGCACACAAACACGATTACATGTTCGCTCAAAAAAAAAAAAAGAACACGCTTACACAAACACATACCGGCATTCGGGTCAGCGCCGGAGAGGCGAGGCAGCTTGGACGGTGGCTGCGGCGAGTCGGCTTCCTTCTCCTCATCCATTCTGACAACTCGGCTTGTAACTCCTCGCTCCTCGGTTTCGAACTCAATGGAGGTAAGGTTTGGGGTTCTTGGTGGGAAGAGGAATGAAGAAAGAAGATGGGGGGCAGTGAGTTGTCAGAGGAAGGGTGAAGGAGTGGGCATATATTTATGCGTGCGACGGCTCCCCGTCGTCTGGTCGCCCGGTAACTTGTGCGCAGAGGTAATAACGGAAGCTGAGGGGATGTGTGGGCTGTACATTGCTTGCGGTGGGCGCGCGCGGAGGTGTCGCGGCGTCGGCCCCTGGCGCCGGGAGATGACACGAATGAAAATACTTTCGACATTTTCTGGGCGTTGGACGGACGGGCTTGACAGCCTTTTTATCGCTTCTGCTCGTTTACTACTTTTCGCGTTGGATGGACGCAGCAACGTGTTTTTGTGAAAAACGGATGCTCGGATCACGTGTTACTATGGTTGATAAACCAACGTGTTATTACTACTATTGTCGCTCTCTCATCGCCAATTCTATACCGGGAAAAAGTGCACCATGCATTTACCTATATAAGTTTTGGTAGGCCGACCTCCATTGATTCTAATTCTGCAATATTCCCATCTTACGAAAAGAAAAACAGTGTATATAGAATGTCGTTTTGTGCTAGGTTGGCAATGGGATATGACGAGAGTGGGTTGGACAAGAATGGCCCTGCCCCAAAGGCCCTAATCCTTGATTCCATCTTCCACAACCAACCGTGCTAGCTTCTTTAGGCAGAAACTTGATGGGGCCCAAATACCTGATCGGGCCATTGCACGGTCGTTGGTGTGCAACTGAGACACACCAAATGGTAAGATGCAACGGTGGAGGAGATGGAGATAGCAGGGTGAGAGCTGGTGAGGTGCCACGCTAGTAGAGGTGGATGTGGGCGCATAGAAGCCAATGCATGCGAGACACGATGGTAAAGACGTGAACTCGTTTATGAGCAGCAAGCGGTGGAAGGTGGAGCACGAACCTCACGCAGGACATGATCGCGACTCATGACTTGTACCGTAGGCGACGTTGATGCCACTGGAGTCACAAGCAAGAAGTCAACGGTGGGTTGGTGTAGGTAGCGGGGTGACACAAATCGAGTGGTTAAAAGAGGAATTGGGGGGGGGGGGGGGGTTGGTGGATCTGGCAACGTAGGTTGCCAAAGATGGTGGACGCTTGGTGGCGTGGAGGAAGCTTGACACTGGAGTTATAGAAGAAGATATCTACTCAACCATGCAGTCCATCTAGATAGTAAAGAGGAGGTGGCCAACCGTGGTGTCGTCAAGGCTATGGTGGCGATGACGGGCGCATCTAGATGTCTAGTGAAAGCTAGAGGAATTAGAACGGATAGAGGGGATAAGGTTTTGGTTCATGAATCTTGGTGAGATCTCAACCATTGGAATTTGAGTGATTCTTTCCACAAGACGTTCATATGACACTAGACAACCCCGGTTTGTATTCGAGCCTACTAAATGGGTTTTCTTAAGAATTATGAGTTGTTTCTATTGGCCTTATCGTTTTCGAGGCCTCATGGTAGGAATGGATCCCTGGCCTTGGTTATGCACAATGGAACATCCCCCCTCCTCGCGCATGTGGAACCCATGGGGCAAAATCTACTCCGTCCCAAGCCTCATAGGGGCAGAGACATACCCCAATGGGATTTGGCCACCCTTAATATATATGCGTATGCAAGTATGCAAGGAAAAAGAACTCGTGATTTCTAGGCCTACCAGGCTAGTTGATCTACAATTTGTCTAGACTCATGTCAAAATATGCACATGTTAATATATGTATGTGTTTGGTGGGACCGTACGTTCCTCGTGCACTAAAGGCTAGACTTCCGATCTCTTTTTAGTTTAGCTTTTCCTAGTATGTTTGGAGTTTGGATACGCGCGTGTCCCCTGAAATGTACCCTTAAATGAATATAGCAACCCATCTTCAATATTTTTCCCAATTTAGAAATAGGTGCTATTTCCACAGCTTTCACAAGCTTGCCTCGTTTTGCTTGATGCATTTGTTTTTAGATATTGAATAGTTTTCTTTCCTTGACTTGCTCACATGACTAAAGATTTGTAGTAGCGATCTCGTCCAAGCGAGCAATTAGGGTTCCCGGTGACCATAGCTTCTTGCAAGTAGGATTGTCCAAAAAAGGCTCGAAGGCTCCCAAGCAACACAAAGCTTTGTCGGCATCAGATTTGTGTTATAGTGATGAAGGGTGTTTTGGAAAACTCCTTGTAGGATCATAATCCTATATTATCATTTGAAATAAAGTTTTGGACACCACTGAATTCTATAAAATTCCTATCAAATACCTTAATCCATACAAGTTTTAGAAAAATTTAACATGTGATCGAATCTCACGGAGAGTTTCTTTGAGTATCTACCTTTCCTAAAATTCTTCTTTTTTTTATCAAATGGTAATTTTTGTATTTTTACATGTTTTACAATTCTCTACTTTATATTTATGTTGTTGTAAAAAAAAGTCTACTCCCTCCACCCCAAAATATAACAACTTCTCCCCCAAAATTCTCTTTTCGACCAATCACAACCCTTCACCATTCAATTTTTCCACCTACCTCCACTTCTCCTCCAATCACAACAACTCCCCATTTAATTCTACCAACTTTCTTAATAACCGTGTCCAACTATAAAAATGTTTATATTCTGGAATGAATGGAGTAATGTATTTTATATTCCATTTTTGTCAATCCTATGTTTCAAAGAAATTTTAGGGCCCATTTGATTTGGAGGAAAAACATAGGAATTTTGGATGATTTCAATCGTATAGGAAAAAAAATCCATTGAATGCATTTGAAACAAAGAATTGAATCCTATCTTATCATGTGAAATTCCTATGGAATGGACAATCCTATAGAGATTTTGGAGGAAATTTAGTAAGAGCTTTAACCTCTTGAAAAATTTTCTGTGAATCTATCTCTCTTATCCGATTCTTGTGTTTTTCCTGTGATACAATCAAACGGTCAAATCCTATGTGTTTGCAATCTTTTGTTTTGCACTTTCATTCCTGTCAGAAGCCTTTGTTTTTTCTATTTCTATGTTTTTTCATTCCGTTAGTGAAACTAGTACGTAGGCTTTGTTTAGTTCCAAACTTTTTCTTCAAACTTTCAACTTTTCCATCATATCAAAACTTTCCTACACACATAAACTTCCAACTTTTTCATCACATTGTTCCAATTTCAACAAAATTTCCAATTTTAACGTGAACTAAACACACCCGTAGTACTAGCATTTCTTTGGATGGATGTCGGATGGAGTGAGAACGTTCCATGGACATTGAGTGAGAAAGCTCCTCCTTTTCCGCGCACACGCTTCCTAAACTACTAAATGGTGTGATTTTTTACAAGAATTTTCTATAGGAAAATTGCTTTAAAAAATTATATTAATCCATTTTTGCAAGTTAAAATAGTTAATACTTAATTAATCATGCGCTAATGACTTACCTCGTTTTCCTTATCTTCCCAATCTTCTCGATCTTCTTCTCCTCAAACTCACCCTAAGTACGGACAAAGTTATTTCTCTCCAAAAACATGAAGAGAAAACTATTTTACAATTGCTGTGTGTGAGTAGTTTCAGGCTTTGTTTAGTTCACGTTAAAATTGAAAGTTTGATTGAAATTGGAATGATGTGACAGAAAAATTGGAAGTTTATATGTGTAGAAAAGTTTTAATGTGATGGAAAAGTTAAAAGTTTAAAGAAAAAGTTTGTAACTAAACCAGGTCTGAGTTAAGCCCGCTTGGATCTACTCGCCTGTCACGTGAACATTGGACTCCTCCTCTGACTTCTGACAACATGTCAGCCTTTTGTTTCGTTCCGCGTTTTCTATTGCCTCGGCCATACCGTGATGAACTTCGAGAGAGAACAGAAGAAACGCACACTGACGCTAACCCGCATTACAAATACGGACTCATTTGTAAACACCGATCGTTAACAGAACAGAGAGAACGAAGAAGAATGAGAAACTACCGCCACAGGCAAGTGGCAACCTGCGCGTGCGGCGAGCCGGGGAGGACGTACGGTAAAACCCAGAGAGGGGCTGCAAAGGAGGCTGGTTACATCCGGTCTCCACCAAATTTTTTTCCCAGCGCAAGGCCTTGCGTGATTGCGTGAACGTTTTTGGCCACGGCGGATTTCGCGGTGGGGATAGCTAGCGAGCGACGGAAAAGCGGAGGCGATCTGCTTCGCTTCCTTCCTTTTTCTACTAGGTCCCCCCTACTGGCGGTTGCGCATGCAGCTTGCAGCAGCAGGGTTGGGCTGGGCTCGCCGCGCGCTGATCTCCGATCCAGAGCGGGGCGGGGCCCGTGGATCGGCGCGTGCTACGGATACTGGAGCGAGGGCATGGCGTGCCGTTGCTCCCGCCGACCGCGGCCGCGTCCACCGTTTCTGTCCGCGTCTACGCACGTCAGGGCGTGATTGTGCTGCTACGCGTACGTATTCTCCGTGCTCGCGATCATGGTGTCACGGACAGCGAGGCTGATCGCGGTGGGGGGCGCCGTCTTTGGAGTTGCGTTGCTGCAGGGGTTACCCCACGGCCCAGCTGTCCAACTCGTGTCGCTACCTGCCAGAGCTGGCCTGCATGCCGCTAGGCGTCGACGTCGTCGCGTGCTGTTCGGGAAGGACGGGGACCGAGTCACCGAGAACGTGGCGTCGGAAGGTATCCTATCTCCGGCCGGGGATAGCTATGATCATCGGAGTCTGATAATCTGTCCATGGCAAATGCTTGGTGCTGGAGCCTGGCGGCCTCTCAATCTACTCCAACAGCATCTACTCAGAGGACCGGGAAGCAGATACCCTATCTCGATAGCTTTGCAGCATGCGAACCGTTCATACAGCCACATAGACCAGTACATTAACAATTTACAGCCCGGCGGCTCAATCAGTCAAGATGTCAGTCCGCCCGAATTGTCGTTTGCCGCGCTTTGCTCTGTTGGCCGCCGGTAGGCGGTGGTAGAGGGAGTAGAGAGCGAGAAGCCGAGAACCGTCGTTCCACGAGCTTCTTCTGCACAGGAGCAGTTGGAAGATGCGTGGCCATGCACCGCAGTGCCCATCCGCGGCGCGGAGAGGCAGCCGGCAGCCAAAGGCGTAGAAGGCCAACAAGGCAACAACCCGCCCATCTACTGATCTACAGCGGTCTAATTTGACTGACAAAATCACAAAATATAGAGTTTAAAAAACTAAAGACTGACAAAATACATGGACTTTGTTGAAAACACTGGATCATTACAAATGTTTACGATCCAAAACAAGGACTTA